TAACTGTCTTTTACACTAAGCTTTCTGGGATCATAAGTAATCCATATCACACTGCATTTCCTTTTTCTATTTATATTACATTTCCTCATTTCTTTTCTTTATGTGCCTTATAGGGAAGCTACTATCCCTTTGTTGGAGCAGTCTAAGACAGGAGGCTTACTATGTTTTTGAAAAGTGTGTTATCACTCCTTTGATATTTATCTGTTTCCTCCAATTTATTTTTTGCTTAGAATAGACAACTTCTCATAAAACAACAGGCATGTGACCTGGTGGTGCAATGTACAGTTAAGAAGATTTTAGGATGGGGAGATGGCTCACTGAGAAAGTGCTTATGGTCCTAGCACCAGGGAGGGTTTGCTGGCTATCCAGTCTAACCTAATTGGTGGACTCCAAGGAAATAAGAGACCACGCCTAAAATGAGATGGGTGGCATTCCTAAGGATGATGCTCAGGGCTGTATGAATACACCTGAACCCAACACACATGAACATGTACACACATACATAAAAATGCTTTTTAAAATTCATTTTTTATAGTTTAAAGAAAAAATAGTTACTTTTTTTTTCTCTCTTTTCAGCACTTAACTTTGCAATGGGAGCTCTTCTTGTATGTGTTTCCATATATCTCTATGGGTTACCCAGACAAGACACTACATCCATTCAACAAGAAGCAACTTCAAAAGAAAGAATCATTGGTGTGTGATTTGCGTCTTAAGATGTTCCTTTAATGACAAAACTGTGGATAATAAATTAGAGCCTTAAGTCAACCCCAGATGGTAGCTTAAACAGTATCAACAAACCAACTGTATGACATAAGAATCAAGAAGAAAACTGAATGAGTGAAATGCTAAACAGATTTGAGTGCGTTTGGTGTCAAGCTGTATTATTTCAGAATGAAGGACTTTACTAGAGTGTGCTTGCGTGTATGTATGTATGTATATGTATGTATATCGTGTACACAGAGCATGGAGTTGACATGGTATCAGAACGTACATACGTGTGCGTGCGTGCACGTGTCTCATGTACACAGAGCACAGAGGTGACAATACAGGGTCAGAATGTCAGGTGAAACTACAACATTCAGTCAACAAGGTTTAAGACAGTGTCTGCAGGTTAAAGTGCCAAAGCCATTTCTGTACACGCTGTTCTCTTGTTCAGGTACCGGGAGAGGAGGGTGAGCCTTCCTTGTCCAGTTCATGGATAGTACTTTATCCCTGGAGCAGTGAGACTCTCGCTTCTCTTTCAGAGTGAAGAACGACTAAGACAGGACAGTTGAGAACGAAACTCAGTGTGTAACGCTAACGCAGAGTCTGTTTCCTAGCTCAGACACTGACTGCTGTCTGGGTGATGACTGAGAACTTTAGTGCTGTATCTGTGCCATCCACTGTCTGGTCCATAGTTCTTTGCTGTTGTTAGCTGATATACTTTTCTGAAAATTTTCTAAGTCACTTTTATACTTTCTTTTTTATAAAGTATGGTTACCTGTTGGGCTCTCAATTTGTGAACTTTCAGTGATTTAAAACTATTTCTATAATGTTAATGGGGAAATCCAGCAATAAATTTATTTATATCACTTTCGTGTAGTAACTTGTTTTATGGTTGTGATCACTATGATAATGCAAAAACATTAACATGGCTTTTTTCTGTGTATGAAATTTTAACAAATAGGGTTTTGTTTGCAAATAATAGCTATAATCTAATTCTTACAAGCCTTGAGCAAAAAAAGAATTTCTGGGAAGGATTACAAAGCAATAAGTCTTTTCAAAGAACTATATTTTCGAAGGCTTAGTTCCTGTATAATTTAATTAAAGACATAACACGTACTTACTGTTACCTAAATTAAACTCATATTATTGAATCAAATCAGACAAATTACCTTGTCTGTATGCAGATACATGGAAGCCAAAATTCCATCTCAAATTATGCCTTAATACTGGCTCACACTTGACATAAAAATCTGAATTCAATGCACTGTAACTGCTTGCAATTTCCATGCCTATGTCCCTGACTTCAGTTTGTTACTATTCCATTCATGCTAAAGGTAAGCCCAAGGTAAGTTCTCACTGGAGTCGTTGCCCACTCTGCTGCCAAAGAGATGCTTCCTTTACAAATACAGGGGATACTTACTTTACTTACAAATATATTTGTAAATAAATGTATTGTTCTAGAAACTAGCTATAATTAAAATAAAAATGGGAACCACCCTTCACCAATTATTTGATGAAAACAGGAGGTAATCTCAGTTATAAGAATCATTTCTAAAAGCCCCCATGAGTCCCAGTCAGTTGATTCAGTGAGCCATGATGGAGCCTGTAGGGGTCTGACTTAGGTCCTCTGCACATATGTTATGGCTTTGATGTTCTTGGGGGATTCCCAACAGTAGGAGTGGGGTGTCTCTGACTCTTGCCTGCCTGTGGGACCCTTTCCTCCTACTGGGTTGCCTCATCCAGCCTTGATTTGATGGTTATGTGCCTAGCCTTATTGTTATGCTGTGTTTGGATAATGTCCCTGGGAGGCCTGCTATTTTCTGAGTAAGGCAGGAAGGGTATAGATTAAGGGAATAGGGGAGGTGGGGGGCAGAGACTGGAGGGAGTGGAGGTGAGGGGGGAAACTGCGGTTGGGATGTATATGTGAGAATAAAAAAAAAAAAAATGGGAGGACCCTAGGAAGGATGCATGGATTGCCCAGTGAAGGAGAAATGAGATCTACATGAGCAAACTGGGGGTGAGGGTTGGTAATGGAGGGCAATGGATGGGGGATGAGAACATAGGGGAACAGAAGGTTCGAGCTGGAACAGGGTCAGAGTGGGAGAGCAAAGAGATACCATAATAAAAGAAGACATCATGAGCCGGGCGGTGGTGGCGCACGCCTTTAATCCCAGCACTCGGGAGGCAGAGCCAGGCGGATCTCTGTGAGTTCGAGGCCAGCCTGGTCTACAGAGCGAGATCCAGGAAAGGCGCAAAGCTGCACAGAGAAACCCTGTCTCGAAAAACCAAAAAAAAAAAAAAAAAAAAGACATCATGGGAAGAGGGAGAAACAGTGCTAGGGAAGTTCCCAGGAATCCACAAGGATGACCCCACCTTAGACTACTGGCAATAGTCGAGAGGGTGCCTGAACTGGCCTACTCCAGTGATCAGATGGCTGAATACCCTAACTGTCATCATAGAGCCTTCATCCAGTGACTGATGGAAGCAGATGCAGAGATCCATGGCCGTGCCAGGCCGGGCTCCAGGAGTCCAATTGATGAGAGAGAGGAGGGATTCCATGAGCAAGGGACATCAAGATCATGATGGGAAAATGTACAGAGATGACCATCCAAACTAGTGTAAAGGCATGAACTGTGGACCAATAGCTGAGGAGCCCCCCCAGGGTACTGGACTAGGCCCTCTGGAAAGGCAAGACAGCTGTTTAGCTTGAACTGTATACAGGTCCCCCAGGCAGTGGGATCAGGACCTGTCCTTGGTACATGAGCGGGTTTTTGGAGCCTAGTGCCTATGATGGAACACTTTGTGCAGCCTTGGTGCAGGGAGGAGGGGCTTGGACCTGCCTCAACTGGATGTACTAGGCTCTGCTGACTCCCCATGGGAGACCTTGCCTTGGAGGAGGTGGGAGTGGGGGGTGGGTTGGGGGGGAAGGCTCGAGTGTGAGAAGAGAGGGGATCTGTGGCTGGTATGTAAAATGAGTAGAAAATCTATTAAAAAAAAATAATGGGCTGGGTGGTGGTGGCGCATGCCTTTAATCCCAGTACTCGGGAGGCAGAGGCAGGCGGATCTCTGTGAGTTCAAGGCTAGCCTGGTCTACAAAGCGAGTTCCAGGAAAGGTGCAAAGCTACACAGAGAAACCCTGTCTCGAAAAACAAACAAATAAACAAAAAAAATGGACTGTGACCTATAAACTGAAATAACACCCCCCCCCCACCGCCCCCCAAAATTTTCTGTTAATCTCAGTACTCACAAGGCATATCTCTGAGTTCAAGTTAGCCTGGTCTACATAGTGAGTTCCAGGCCAGCTGATGCTAAACAGACCTTGTCTTATATTGATTAAAAAAAAAAAAAAAAAGATCTCTGGAGCCAGCAGGGTAAAAGTGCTTATGTGTATAAGCCTGAGCCTGACTTCCTAAGTTTGACACTTGGAACCCACAACAGAAGGAGAGAATTCACTTCCTAAAGTTGTCCTCTACCTTTCAGTTAATCCCCTCCCCCAAGCAACAACAAAAAGTTGAAAAAAAAGTTTTTGTCAGGGTCTAAATGTGCAGGCCTGTAACCCTAGCTGAGCGAAGGCAGTAGGGTCAGAGATTCAAGGCCTGGTTAGGCAACGAGTTCAAAGTCAACTTGGGCAATTTCCATGAGAATCTACTTTAGTATAAAAATAAAAAGAAGGGTAGGGATATAGCTTAGTGATGGAGCCCTTGCCTAGTGTGCACAAGGTTCTAGGCTCATTCTCTAGTAACACACACAGTCTATCGAAATATATAGTGTACACACAGATAAGTGTACATATACACACACATATTCTAGAAAAATGACCTCAGGCCAGAATTTAAATGTTAGTCTTTTGCCCCAATTATATCACAAGGTTTGAAATTTAAAGACCCAACTTAGTTTCTTACATGTTTGAATACCTACTGACCATGAATAAATACACACATATTTTTAAGAGTAAAGATTAAGTTAATGTTACTGCATAAAAATATATATTCTGGTCAGGTAGTGGCAGCATATGCCTTTAATCTCAGTACTTGGGAGGCAGAGGCAGGTGGATCTCTGTGGGTTTGAAGCTAGCCTGGTACAGAGCAAGTTCTAGGACAGCTACTGCAGCTACTCAGAGAAACCCTATCTGGAAACAACCCTCACCCCACAAAAAATTACAAATATATAATTCTGGCACAGAATAATACTTTAAATTCTATTCTGAACAGCAAGGCATCTGATAACAACTAGAACTTGTTTGGCATTAAAAAGCCCACACTTTAATTAGAAATTACATATTACATTCTACATACAGGTATAATTCCAAGAAGCTTCATTCCATTGGCTAGGACAGAACGGACAGCTTTGAAAAGATGAAGTCTGGCCTACAAAATAATGATTAAATGTTCAATAATATGTTAGCAATAAGCAAAAAAAAAGAATGATTTTTAGAAGTAATTCAATTAAAGTAGGAATTCTGCTTGAGAGTCTTTTGCATACTCTAGGTAAGGAGAAATATATCGTAGCACCCCTTACAGAAAGAACAGTATAGTAAAGGTGTGCCATGGGAGTGGCAGAATTTCTCATTTGAACATCTGATGGAAGAAGGTACATTTGATAGTCTACTATTTTGGGAAATATTTAAACAGATTCTATTTACCTAAGTTACAAAGTATACTGCTGTAGTTAAACAACAGAAGATATTTCAGAAGAATTCCTATGACTTTTCGTACTAACATTTCATAATATTAATTTCAGCTGCCAAGGGGCTATATAGAGGACACTGAATGTAACATACCCCAGCCACATCAGCAGGACTGTCTTTCACTTGGAGTGTTTTATGTGCCATAGCTGCAAGGTGACTGAAACAAGTAAGAGAGATCACAATGAGGGTCAGTAGTCATTTCCTGTTCCATGAATCCGATACCTGTCCAACACTTAACTTTATGGAAAAACCTAGAATCACTAAAGAAGCCATTTGAAGTTATACAAGTTGAAATAAATGCATTTGCTTGTCTGTAATAAAACGCTAAACTCAAAGCTTTAGAATTTAGTTCTGCTTCTACCAAATGGCAAGTTTTAAGATTTTGATTTCACTTTTTTATAGAAATAGGACATGCCTTTCTAACAAGTAGAATTTTCTTATGTAGACAACTTTTACAAGTAAACAGGGTATATACCCTTTTCCCCCTGTGTCAACTGAGGTGGGATAGAGACTAGTTATCAATGCACTGCACACACAAACCAGACACTCCTTGAAGTATTTTTTTCTGTTAAGGTATGGCAGCAATGAGCCATGAAATGCACATAATCATTTAATTATTTAAGTGACATTTCACTAGACTTTTTGGCTTTGCATTTGCCCTTATATGTAAGTAGGAAAACAAAAAAACAACACACTTATTTAAATCTGAGGGAGCCAGGGGTAGGGCTGTAGTACTTAGGGAACAGATGCAGGAGGATTAAGAGTCCCAAGTTAGCCTGGACTACACAGTGAGACCCTTCCTCAAACAAAACAAAAACTTGGGAGATAAGGTAAAAAGTATAATCAAGAAAAAAGTTACAGTATTCTCTCATTTCAGTAAATAGTGAGTAAAAGCATTTAAATTAACCATGAATTTTCAACTGGTATCATTGATTTGCTTCCTAATTCCTTTGCTCCTTAGTTATAAGTGATTTTGTTGTGTCTCTGCTTAAAACAATATGGACACAACCACTCTAAAAACCATCTAAGGCCAAAGGCTCAGCCTCATCATTTCTTTTTTTTTTTTGGTTTTTCAAGACAGGGTTTCTCTGTGTAGCTTTGCGCCTTTCCTGGAACTCGCTTGGTAGCCCAGGCTGGCCTCGAACTCACAGAGATCCGCCTGCCTCTGCCTCCCGAGTGCTGGGATTACATTTCTTATCCTTTTAGTGATTATAGTTGGAGTACTTGCTCAGCTCTGGACCTTTCCTCCTTCCTAGCTATTTGAGTCTTCTGATTACCACCTGCAGATTCCTCCTGACTAGCCCACTCTGATCCCTCAAAGCAGGGCTGGGTGAACATCTCATATGTTCATTTTTGGCAATACACATGTCATTGTGTTATAACTACCCTTGCCATTGTCAGTTCCTATGATTCTATTTTATATCACAGAATAAACACAATGAAATCTAATTGTCAGAGAAGATCTAACAATTCCTATAACCTAAAGGAAAAAGCAATTTTGAAGGCAAGAGATTTACATATGAGAAACCTTTAGGTGAAAGAGAGAAAATAGAGGGTCTGGAGAGATGGCTCAGCAGTTAAGTGCTCTTCCAGAGGGCCTGAGTTCGATTCCCAGCACCCATGTCAGATAGATCATAATTGCCTGTAACTCTAGCTTCAAAGGACCCGATGGCCTCCAAAGGTACCCAAACACATGTGGTGATACCATTTTTATGAAACTATATCTTACATTCAGAGATTGAACTTTGGTGGACTTTATAGCTGAGTTAATATACCTGGAGGTCACTTAAAGCCTATTTGGATACCCAGGTGTGGATTTAGCCTGTTTAACCTTCCTTTAAGAGAACAATTTTACAACCAACTTTGTCTTGGACTTCCCATGTAATTACTTTTTACAACCTAAGCTAATGTAAGTTATGCATTCTTCCATGTCTCTGATCCAGAGAGCAATGTCTGTGTGTTTGAAAACAGCAGATATGACAAAAGCGGCCTTAAAAAATAAAAATGTCTGCCATAAATGCTGAAAACAGCATATGGATATTGCTTGATGATGATATGTATGTTCACAGTGCTGTTTGTTTTTCTGAGTGCTTCTGGGTCAGCTGGAGTCAATGAAGTTTCCTTCTGTGTAGTGTCTCTTATTTCTTCCCCACATGATGCTGTCTGTTCAACAGAGAGCAGAGCCCTTTGTTAGGGACAGACTAGACAGCATCCAGGCAGGCACAGGTGCAGCCGCACACAACAGGCACATTTACAGCCAGTGACCCAGAAGCTACAGACAGATGACATGGGAAGAAAAGAAGCTCTGCATCACTCTTGCTTAAACCATTCCAAGGGGAAGTGCTTTGATTTCCTGCCTCAGTGTAGCACCTACCCATATTGATGACTCTGAGTTTATCATTCATTTAAATTAGTATGCATGCCTGTGAGCTCGCTCTCTCTCTCTCTCTCTCTCTCTCTCTCTCTCTCTCTCTCTCTCTCTCTCACACACACACACACACACACACACACACACACTTGAATAAAAATAAATCGTAGAAAGATTTTGAAAAGAAAATAAGGAGATTAAAAAAAAATTACCTTAGCGTTAAAAGATAACTAACAATGTGCTTAGGTTGAAGGTCCTGAGATGATTTATAAAGTACCTCGTCGAACCTAAAAGATGACAGGAACAGGCTGATCATTTGTTATATGAAGCTAACACGTTAAGATGTTAAATACCTTTGGTGTTAAGAAGGCATATGAAAAAAGACCTGGGTACATTTGATCACTAATGTGAATTTTTCTTTCATATAAATTCCTTGATAGCAGAGACAGTCTAAATCATCTTTATAGCTCTTAGAGCTAGTCCTAAGCAAAATCAGAAAAAGAAAAAACCTTGCCTATTAAAGTAGTGAGCTTTAGTCTCAAGGCTAAGGGAATCAGGAGGGCTTATTTTCTTTCACATATTATGTGGGAGTAAAATTTTCTTATGTAAAGAAAGAACAGCTGAGCACTGTGTGGCAATCAAAGGAAATTTGCCTTCATAGACACATACCTACTTCTTTGTTCTCTGATCTCTTAGAGACCAAGGTATGGCCTGCCTGTGTGGCGGTATTAGGCAGACAAATGCATAGGAGATTGAGAGCGGAAGCCACAAGGCGAACTGGAGGATTCTTATCTCTGAAAAGCTGCACAGAGGCAGGGCTTCTCCTCACCCTGTCATAACACAGCCTCCTGGGATCGTCTTATTCACAGACCATGCTCTAAGGCCTCACCTTCCTAGACAGCGGGCTTAGACTGCACTACTCCTTTGTAGTGTTCTATTTTGTGATAATACTTTTAAGGCTAGGATTGACCTTGAACATTGGCTTGATCTGTTATCCCAGTCTGTCCTCAAAAGTCAGATTCCTTTTTGGCCCACCTCTGCCTGTCTAGAGGCAGGAGGCAGCCTCTGAACTAATGACTAGAAATCAGCAAAACATGCTCTCAGTTCAGAGTATCAGACTTGGTAATAACAGAAAAACCTCATACCTGAGAAGATGCTGGAGAATGGAAACTGACTGTGGCTCTTGTAAACAAGCAACATTGACGTCATTGAGGTAACCACATCCAAAAGTCTCTTCCAAACTGTCACCAAAAGTTTAAACAAATGTGAAAGGATCAGGTTTTGAGGGGCCATAGCTACATGTGATGAATATTAGCTCTGGGTATACAGTCTTGATCTCCTTAATACAGTCCTGGACTTTGACACTAACATTGATTTAAATCTTCATTTTCCTCAAATTATTTTCAGTGTCTCTTAAAATGTAGGTGACAGGATATTCTCTGGCAGAATTACCCTGAGGTCGAAGTAAGACAATGCACAAAAGTGTTTCTTATAATAGGTGATTGATAAGTGCTTAGCAATAAGAGGTCTGCTGTGTTTTACCCAGTTTTGAATAAGAAACTTGGAAAAGTCCAGAAAACAGGGCTAACCACTGGTCTTTTTTTTTTTTTTTTGGTGGTTTTTCGAGACAGGGTTTCTCTGTAGCTTTGGAGCCTGTCCTGGACTAGCTCTGTAGACCAGGCTGGCCTCGAACTCAGAGATCCACCTGCCTCTGCCTCCCGAGTGCTGGGATTAAAGGTGTGCGCCACCACCGCCCGGCACAACTGGTCTTAGAACCACACCAGGCAGGTTCCAGCTTCCCTGCAGCCTCTTCTCACCTACAGAGGCGGGCATGGGTATATTGTAGGAAGACTCCAGTGTCCCCACGACTCTGGAAAACACGGTCCCAACTGAACTGATAGTCAGATAGGAGTAAGCCTCTGAAATCCTAAAATGAGAGTACATCATTACCCTGGGTTTTGCTACACACCAGACAAAGAGATCTCAGAGGAAGGAGTCATAACCCACCTGGATGATGAGAGCTGCGAGCCCTACCCTCTCTGCAGTCTCTTGTGGGTTCTCCATTTTTTTTGTTGCTGAAACAGATAAAGGCAGTTATCTTCAACTTACACCATATTGTTCAAGAATAATGGATCAGCATGCAAAAAAAAAATCTGAAAGTGTACAATCAAAAAATAAGACAATGGGTGCTTTATCTTCCTCCTTTAGGCTAATAGTTAGTGCTCCTGCCTACATCAAAGTAAAGAAGCATGAACTTATTATTTTTTTTATAAATATCCCTTGTAAGGTATTAAAGCCCATACTTATTTTTCCAAGGGTGAAGATTAAATAGTTATATGAACTTTAATAACTTGGATCCAATTTACAATGCAAGGACTTGGGCTGGAAGATAGCTTAGTTGGTAAAGTGCTTGCCTAATGTGGTGTTCTGAATGAGAACCCCCATAGGCTCATATTGGAATGTTTGGTTCCCATTTGGTGGAACTGCTTGGAAAGTTAGGAGGTGTGGCCTTGTTGGAGGTGTGCCCCTGAGGGGTGAACTTTGAGGTTTCAAAAGCCCATGTCACTTGCAGTTAGCTCTCTGTCTCCTGCTTGTGGATCAAGATGTAAGCTCTCAGTTACTGTTCCAGCATCATGTCTGTCAGCCTGCTGCCATGCTCCCTGCCATGATGGTCACAGACTCTAAACCTCTGCAACCATCAGCTCCAAATTAAATGCTTTCTTTTATATGTTGCTTTGGTTATGGTCTCATCACAGCAATAGAAAAGCATGACCCCCTGAAAACTTGAGGACCTGAGTATGAGAACCAGAACCTATGTTTAAAAAAACCAAGAGAGTAGTGGATTGTGTGTGCAATCCCAGTACTAGGGAGGCTCAATGACCAGCCAGCCTAGCCAGTAAGAGATCCTGCTTGTGTGTTTTTTATAAAAAGCTGGCAATATCTGAGAACTCCTCTTGCCTCAACATGAATGTATGCATGTGTGCACTTGTACACATACAGACACATAAAAATGCAAGCCCTTGACAGGATGACTTTGACAACAGACTGACAACATTCAAGCTGTCCATGAAAAGACTACAGTTATATTAATGAACAACTGAACTCTGTGTCAAATTTATGAAAGCTACTTTTGATCAGGTTCATGAAAGTCCAAGAAAGCATAAAAGTAGCAATGAGGATTTACTCTTAATGGAAGCCATGTTCTGTAGCATCCTTGACTGAACCTCATTTAAGACATCTTCCAGAAAAGTGACATCCCCTCTTCGAGTCTTCATTCCCTTTACTATCCCAAAAGGTACATGCTGGCACCTGAAATGGACAGGCATTTATTAACCAAAAGCTAAAAAGGTGCTAATAATGTAAGTATATCTTAGCACTCTTTCAGAAAACAAACTTTTAACCTTGTAGCAGAGTTTTTAAGAATTATCAAATAAATAGGGGTGTGGCCAGGAATGGTATATGTGGTAGCAATTCAAGCATTGGAAAATGGAAGCGGGAAGACTAGGAGTTCAAGGTCTTTCTCAGGTACATACACAGCTAAAGGCTAGCTTCTGCAGGGGACCCCATTTCAAACAAAAATTTTCGTGACTTTTTTATAGCTGAAAAACTATTGTGTCCAGGTACATCTTCATTATTTTATGGACAACCAGACTGGTTTCATTTCCTAGGTATTGTGAAAGAGCATCAATAAACATGGAAATGCAAGTCTCTGTAGCAGGATAGTGAGCCCTTTCGGTATTTATCCAGACATGGTGTAGCTGAGTCATACGGCAGCTCCATATTGATTTCCACAGTGGTTGTACCAGTTTAAAGTTCCACCAGCACAGTAGTAGACAACTTCCCCTTTCCCCACATCTTTACTGGGATTTGTGGTCATTTGTTTTCTTGATAACAGCACTCTAATTGTAGTGAGATGGAGTCTCAAAGTAGTTTTAATTTGCATTTCCCTGGTGGTTTATAATGTTGAATACTTAAAAAAAATATTTATTGGCATACACACACACTTTTATGTTGTTTTTTTGAAACAGGGTCTCACTGTATAGCTCTGGCTGTTCTGGAACTCACTATGTGGGTCAGGCTGCTCTTAAACTCACAGATCCTCCTGACTGCTTCCTGACTACAGTGACACCATTTATTATTTTTTTAGAGACCTCTTTGTTCAGCTTCATAGTAAATTTTTTGGTTTGGTTATTTGTTTTCCTAATTAGTTTTTTAAAGTCTTATGCATTCTAGATATTAATCCTCTATCATGTGTAGCTGTACACTTCCTTTACTTGACTGTTTCCTTTCTTGTACACATGCTTAACTTATGAGGTTCCATTTGTTAAATGTTACCCGTATTTCCTAGGCGACTGAAGTGTCATTTGAAAGCCCTTATATTTGCTCATATCTTAAATTGTTTTCCATATTTTTCTTCAAGCAGTTTTAGATCTTATGTAAAGGTCTATGATCCCATTTGGAGTTGAAATTTTGTGCAGTGTGTGAGAGATAACTATCTACTTTCATTATTCTACATGCAACATCTCATAAATTATATTAAGTGAGGTAACCAAGGTTCAGAAAAACAAACATTGCTATGTTCTCTCCTAACTTGTAATTTTTACATGTGGGAATCAATTGTTCATAGATGCCAGGAAAGCAGGAACGCACTCCTGAGAGGCCTGGGAAGGGGTGGGGGCAACGGGTAGTAAAACACATCTGATACAGACATGAAAAGAGGAACAGCAGGGGTGGAAAGATTAAAATAGGGATGGAGATCAAAGAAGTTGGGGAGAGCTGAGGGAAGAGGGACAACCGAAACTAAGAATGTATGAGAAAGCTACAAGTAAACCGATTACTTTGTAAGCTAATTAAACAAAATAACCTTTAAAAGTTTGAATGGCAATACTCTGGAATGCATAAACTGCTTCCAGAAGCCATAAGTTTATTTAAAACAAAAAACCTCGGTGCCAGGGTGGATACCACTTTATGACTTGTTACTCAGGAAAGCTCCTTGAGTCCCTAAAACAATACAAGCTATTTGATTGTCCACCAACAGTATAAGATATAATATGCTTCAGTTACAGCACATTGAGAAATCAAACTGGGACTGGGCTGGAAGTTTCTTCCCTGCTGGCTAACTTTCATAATACCGGAAGATGCTCTAGGCTGGGGGGAGAGGTATAATCAATACTCTTACTCAGCTGTGGACCTGCATGCTATATTCCTGGCCTGCCAGACAAGATGTGCCCATTGGGGTAACGCTGGCAAGACTGTTATAGGGGTAACAAACTGTTTTCTGGTTGGATTTGAGTCCACTCCACAGAAGGGAATTCATACCTGGTGATGTATACATAGCTAAAGCTCACAGCTTGGATGGTTTTAAGCCTTAATGAAGGTGGTACTAGTGTTTTAATAAATGGACATATTATATTCATGAAAGTACCTTTCTAAGTGTTGTCAGCTCTGGTCATAGAAACTTCTTTATTCAGTGGGCAACAGTTACTGCAAAGTCTAACTACAGAGTGATTGTTGAATGCTGAGCCCTAAATGTGACACCTAAATCACCCCACCCCCTCCAAGGTTCAGGGAACACTGTAGAAGGAGGGGGGAAAGAATATAAGAGTTGGAGGAAGTAGGAGAGTGCTGTGGAATGACATCTACATATGCCAGGGACAATACATTAATGAACTATGAACCTGCCCAAGACCAGCCCCATAGAACATTCCCTAATGGAGTGGGGAGGAGTTGAGAGGGGCTCATGAGGTCCTACCCCTCCCTGAGGACATATTGGAAGTTAATAGTTGCTGGTGAAGGGAGAGACATTTTTGTCTGTACTGTTGCCCCAAGAAAGTCGTCCATGCTCCTATCAATAACACCTCACCCACATTCTTTAATCAACTCTAATAAATCGCTGGCCCATAAATAAAAAAATCAATCAATCAATCAATCAATCAATCAAAAAATAAACAGAAAGGGGGACTCATTAGGAAGGGGATCAATGGGAGTGGAAGAAGAGGGGAACAGTGTGAATATGATAAGAATTCACATATACATATATTAAGGTATCATTATGTATAACCAAACTATGGAGAATAAAAAAAAAATAAGATGTCATTTTTTGAAGTCCACTTAAGTTTCACTTTACTAACATAATCACTAGCTTGTGATTAAATTACTAGTTGTCTATATGAGGAAGAGGAAATGGATATTAATAATTGAAAACCAAAACACTGATAGCAGACATCTAATAAAAACATTTATTAGGACATAAATTAATACAAAATCAATCTGTCTTTTCCTACCAACATCCTGAAAAGAGAACTGAACATAAATTACTGTAGTTATGTTCTGACGCTGAGCTGAAATAAGTGACCTTGATCAGGCAACAAAGAACAACATGGATCCTACCTTTCTGCCCATTCATATCCCATGATCTTCAGTATTTGGAACACTTGCTGAAAATGCCTTTTTTGCCCTTTGTCTGCCTTGGAGAAATTTTTTAGAAATTAAACAAAACAAAACACAAACAAATTAATAAATAAAAATAAGCTGGTCCTAAAACAAATTAACATTAGAGTTTTGTTAGACTAAAGTCACCGTCAATGTTTCAAATAAACACACTAGCGGCTGGAGAATGGCTCAGTGATTAAGGGTATTTACTGGCTGCTCTTTCCAGAGGACCTACGTTTGGTTCTCACACCCACACTGGGTGGTTGTTCACAACTCCAGCTCTAGGGGATGTGATGCTCTCTTCTAACTTGTGGGGACCTGCACACGCATGCACCATCCATACACATATTCGTTCATTTTCTTTTTCTTATACACATAAATAAGACAAATCTTAAATGCACGACAAGAGTATTTAGGTTGATGGGAAAATAAGAGCTACAGCTCCTTAAGACAGCAGAAAACATGAAAAAAAAATCAGAATGTTCTATTTCATTTCCTTCTCTCGGATGTTATAATCTCTATTTCCAGAAGGCCAAAGCTGAGCTGAACGAGATGGTGGCACCTTCTTGGTTATACAAAGGAAGGCAGGCAGAGAAGAGACTGGAGTACTCGTCAGCAATAAAAGGATCAGACTGTGATATAATGGCTTAGATAGGTCTCAAGGGAAATCACTAAGCTGGGAGAAAGACAAACCTGAGAAAGTTACATACTGTATGATGCCATTTTCACACCACTCTCAAAGTGACAACTCTAATGAAGATCAAGGCAAGGGTTGGAGGGACTGTGATGAAGTGGTGGATAATCAGGGAGTCTGCTCCGTGATGAAACAGACTCATGTTCCGAATGTGGTGGTGGTGGTGGTGGCTACACAGATCTATACATGGGATACTGTTCCCTAAAACCCACCTACACAGGAATGCATGGAAAAACTGATGAGATTTGAATGTTTCTACAAATGTCAATCTGATTTTGACAAAGTAACTTCATGTGTCTGTAGAAGAGAGTGGAGTAAAGGGTACTCAGAGCCACTGCTAGTCTGAAATTTCTTGTCTTAAGGTATTACAAGATTTTAAAAGTTCTCTCTCTCTCTCCCCCTCTCTCTCTCTCCCCACCTCTCTCTCTGAGACAGGGTTTCTCTGTGTAGCTCTGGCTGTTCTGGAACTCACTCTGTAGACCAGGCTAGCCTCAAACTCACAGAGATCTACCTGCCTCTGTCCTGTGAGTGCTGAGATTAAAGGTGTGTGCCACTACCGCCCAAAAAGTTCTTTTTAAAATATAATTCTAACATTTTATTTTATTTATAGCAATAAAGCTTACATATTAAACTACAATAGAATGAGTTGATAGAGTTTTAAATTTTTATTTAAAAATTTAGAAAGATTTATTTTATGTGTATGAGTGTTTTGCATGCATATATGTCTGTACAGACGTGGGCAGTGCCTGATGCTTCTCCATTCCCTTGATGATATTTTAAACAGGTTATAAACTCCTCCCCTCAAAACAAATGAAAAAATAATTTTTAAAAATGCACCAACGGGACAAATGCAACTGCCTTACAGTAACTCATATATAGTAATTTCATATAACCACCTTCTTCTTGACTTTGGTAATTGTTTTTTCACTATGAAGCAAGTAAACTTTTGATTTTTGGGTCTTATACAAAATAAAATTAAAAAGAAGTCACTACCTTAATCAACTTCATATTTATTTTTCATAGTTTGACAAAATTGTTTTTGCCAAAGTTTTCCACAGTTTCCTTTTTTCTTTTTGCTGATGTGTGTGGGCACGTGCATACACAGGCATTCAGGCCGTGATGCACATGTGGAGGTTGGAGGACAATTATGTAGAGTTGATTCTCTCCTTCCATCACTACCTGGGTTTTAGGAATCAAACTGACATCATCAGTCTTACAAGGCAAGTGCCTTATCCACTGAGCCATCTCTCTGGCCCTGGTTTCCTATTTCTGTCTCTCTCTAGTTTCCATGAGGTAGGATTCATAATCTTTTGTTTTTTATTGTGATTACTTACCACATAAATCATTGTATCAAAATTATACTTGTCCATTCGATCTATAGCAGCTGCAAGATCCCTGGAAAAAAAAATGGGTTATAATTGCTTTGACTTACTTGATAACACGGAGACAATTCTATTTAAAAACGGTTTTACTCTGTAGCCTGGAGTATGTGAATTATCACTGCAGAGTCCCAGTACACTTTTTAAGAAATAATAACAAAATTAGGTTTGTAAAAAAAACAAACTACAATGCCCTGGAAAGTATAATTAAAAAACAACTAAAAATAAACAAAAGCAAGTAATCATTAAAAATTATCTTTTCTTTTTTTAAAAATAATTTATTTATTCTTATTTTATGTACATTGGTGTTTTGCTTCCATGTAAATCTGTGTGAGGGTGTCAGATCTTAGAGTTACAGATAGTTGTTAGCTGCCATGTGCATGCTGGGAATTGAACCTGCGTCCTCCGGAAGAGTAGTAGTCAGTGCTCCTAACTGCTGAGCCTTCTCTCCAACCCCTACTTAAAAAGTACCTTACAGGTGTTTTATAATTAACTAAGCCTTTACTGAAAAGAACCATCTAGCTGTTACTTTTCTACGATATATTTTCTCTAAGAACACAATTATAATATAGATGACAAAAGAGCCAAAGAAGTACCTTCTACCACAGTCTGTGTTAGCAAACTTTTAAAATCTTGGATCGCTCAAAAGCAATAACTTCTACTGAATTTAAAAGAGCTCTTAAGTCCTTGTATGGCTCAGTGGTTAAGAGCACACATACTGTTCTTGTAGAGGACCCAAGTGCAGTTCCCAGCACATGAAAGGCAGCTCACAACTGCCTATAACTACAGCTCCAGAGGATCCAACAGACTCTTCTAGACCCCAGGGCACTTGGACTCACATGTATACACACTCACAGATACACCCATATACACACATTAAAAAGTAACATCAAAGGTTAGTAACATATTGAAGTTGAAAATACTGAGAAGGCAAACTTTTTTTTTTTCTTTTTCCTGTTTTTTTTTGAGACAGGGTTTCTCTGTGTAGTTTTGGTGCTTGTCCTGGATCTCGCTCTGTAGACCAGGCTGGCCTCAAACTCACAGAGATTTGCCTGGCTCTGCCTCCCAAGTGCTGGGATTAAAGGCGTGTGCCACCACTGCCTAGCAAACATTTTTTTTTACATCCTCTGAAGTGTTGTAAATGATCAAAATATGATTTGGATCCATCTCATGATCCAGGCACTGCATGGAATATGTATTCATACCTTAGTAAAAAAAATTATTTATCCATTTATCCATTTATTTGTTTGTTTATTTATTTACTTTTAGGTCAAGGCCTCACTAAGTAGCACTGGTTGAACTATAACTCTGTGTGTAGGCCAGGCGGTTCTTGAACTCAAGGAGAACTCCTGCATTTGCCTCCAGAGTGCTGGAATTAAAGGCATTCAACACCACACCTTCCACACATGTACTTCTGTTCTAAATGGAACTGTTTGCACACTGATGCAGGGCTTAGTTTCTTTAATTTGCCTAGCAATAATTAGTTGCCACAATGAAATTTTCTAATATATACATGTGTGCTTAGTAAGTGCAACTCTCATATATGAACAATGAGTGCTCACTTCCACAGGGTGAGGCATGGAGAAGCCTACGTCCTAATTTTTCACAATATAATGAAGTTTGGCATTTACATGCGTGTAAAATGGTTAGGTCACCATTGAACCATAACTTGGTCATTTTTTAGAATATACTTCCTAACAATCTGTACTTACAAAAACACTTAATATATGATTATGAAGGACTACAAATGGAATGATGTGTTCTGCTGTGAACAGCTTATGATAGTCAATAGATTTTAATATAGAATCCCACTCTTCTGATATTAAGTCTTTCTGGAAATTACAACTGGCAATAAATAGAAACCCAGCAAATATTCTTAAAATATGCAAACAGATTTATAATTTGCAACTAGGATTTTTTTAAGACAGTTTGAAGGATAAGATGACTATCCTCCATTAATCTTGGGACAAAGAGTACGAAGTCTCACGTTGCCATGCTCACCTTCGCAGATTACAAACCTGGTCGCATAGAGAGAGGTTCCATCACTTCGCATCACAGTGCAGACAGAAGAGAGGTCACCAGTCCCAGAGAGATCTACCACAACATTCCCTGTTCTAGAAATGCAAAAGGGAAACCCTAAATCAACATCAGGATTCTACTTTGAAGGTAGAACATCCATAGCATTTTTGGTAAAGCAGAAGTTATTTTTATTGCTCATGGAATATTTGGTGTCAGTTCAAGCTATAATCAACAATTGTCAAAACCAGTAAGTTAGAGGATATGGTGAAAACTAAAACTACAGTGATCGTTCCTCCTTTGTGTTAGAATGCCTTTTATTTTATTTCAACAAATAAACAAAAATGAGGCCGGGCGGTGGTGGTGCACACCTTTAATCCCAGCACTTGGGAGGCAGAGGCAGGTGGATCTCTGTGAGTTCGAGGCCAGCCTGGTCTACAGAGCAGGCACCAAAACAACACAGAGAAACCCGTCTCGAAAAATCAAAAAAAAAAAAAAAAAAAAAAAAAACCAACAACAATAACAAAAATGAGGATGGTAAGTATTGGCAAGGATGTGGAGAAAAGGGATCCTTATGTACCACTGGTGGGAATGTAAGTTAGTACAGCCATTACCGAGAGTAATAAAGAGGTTCTTGAAAAACATTGAAATACAGAATTATTCTTTAATCCAGCAATTCTATTTCTGGATATGTATCCAAAGGAATTAAAATTACAGTGTTGAAAAGATACTGCACTGCCATGTCCATTGTAGCATTATTTACAATAGTCAAGATATGAAATCAGCCTCAGTGTCCATCGGCCAATAGATTTTAAAGATGTAATAACAAGAAATAGTACTAGTCAGGTCTTAAAAATGAAATGTATTTGTGAAACACAAATGAATCTGGAGGACATTCTGCTCAGAAAAATAGGTCAGGCACAAAAGAAAACAAAAATTATATGACATCAGAAATGGAATTTAGAAAGAGAATAGTTAAGTTACCAGAGGTAGGAAGGGGAGATGTTAGTTAAAGGGTACAAAGTTGCAGTTGGAAAGAAAGAGTAAGTTCTAGAAAGAGTAAGTTCTACTCTACCAGATGCCATCAATTAATTACAATTTAACATTCACATCACAGCTGAGTATGTGAGGTGATATGCACATAGTTCATTCTCACCACAGCTAAGTGTACTAATGTGCTTGACTTAGACATTCCATAATGAGCATATGTATCAAAACATCAAGATAAAATAACATGAAAATGCAAAATTTACTGTTTGTCAAGTTTCTCAAAAAGGAAAGATTTCTACTATATACAAGGCAACGATGTCAATAGGATGTACTACCATTATCTCTGGCTTTATACCTACAACAATGTCAATAGGATGTACTACCATTATCTCTGGCTTTATACCTATTTTCATAAGTTGACTTAAATATTTCTTGAAACTGGTAGCTTTTTTTTTTTCTCAAAAGATGCAGTTAAGCCACAAAAGTATGTTCTATTTCCTGTTTTTCAAATTATTAATTTATGTAACCAGAGGCAGGCCACATTGTTTTTATATTGTTATAAGTTACCTATTATAACAGGTGCCATCCTTTCTCCTATGAATATGAGACTTTGGCTATGATAGTGATATATAGCATATGAGAAAGGATCTCATTACTTGATGTATAGTTCAGACCAGCCTTGAACTCACCAACCTCCTGCCTCAGCCTCTTGCATGTAGAAATTACAGGTAAGCTTTCCCACCCACAGTTTGAGAAAGTACTTTTTTTGGATAAACGGTTTCACCATGTGGCCCTATCATAGAACTCACAGAGATCCTCCTGCCACTGCCTCCCAAGTGCTGAGATTAAAGGTCTGTACCACCATACCTGGCAAGAGAAAGTACAAATGGCAAAACTGTTCCATACCTCATCCTTGTCCTCACTCAGAGTTTCAGGCCAGCTTGGTCTATAGTTAGTTCTACGCCAGCCATGACTACATAATGAGTCACAATCTTCAAGAAAAACAAAGACAGACAGACAGACAGAAAGAATAGTAATTTGATCATACATTGTTTTCTGTAGAAGTCCTTTGCTGTCCAGCAACTTTAAGATATCTCGAGATTTTTCACGATAAAATGATTCTCCTGAATATTCATCAAAGTATATTCCAAGGCGCTAAGAGGATTCAGAAATATGGGGAAAATGTTGTTTAATTTTTTACACTAAGACAAAACTAAAGATGTCTTATCATCTACCACAAGGATGGGAAAAATAAAGCTTAAACTTTCTAATGACTCATACCACCACTGGCCAAGTCCTCACAATGTATCTGCTGTATCCTATAGCAGTCACAGGGATTTACGGCTTTAGAATTTAGAAAGCACTGAACATTTACAGTTTCTCATCACACTTCAGGTATCCATGCAGCCAAGGGCAACTGTGGATGCTTGTGAGACCAGAAGTCTGCACTACACTGTACAGCCCTGGAAAAGGCATCCCTCATGCTCCAGTCTAGCCCTCTCAGCTCTCCTTTCACACCGCTCTTCACCTTGCTCACTCACTCCCACCACTACAGAGCCATCTTTTCCACCACCTAGTACTAGCTCACAATTACGTTTCTTGACAGAATAAGGACCAGAGCATCTGGGTTATTTTGTATTTTAGCTCTCTCTTCTCCAAGAACACCATTTGGCTGGATTTTCAACTAAACTAGAAATCTACTCTTAAATAAGAGCTTAAGCAGCAGGTGGTAACCAGCAGCAGTACCAGCAAAGGGAACACAGAGATTCTAGGGTACCTTGTAAATCTGAATGTATTCTTCAATGCTCAAGTCCCGAAATCGTTGCCACAGTGAAAGGGCCTGCATGTCACCCAGTTCTAGTCGATGGAAGAATTCATGTGCCAATTTTGCTATATTTTTATCATCTGTAGCTTCTTTATTAACTTGTACATAAACCTAAAAGCACATTAAATATATGATTATACACTCTCATCCCCATACACAATTCCGAGAGTCCACATGGAAAGTTAACTGAGTGGCCACACAGCAGAGTGATTTCTTTTTCTTCTTTCACTAAGCAGATAGTTTGGTGTCTTTGGTAAAAATGGCAATTTAACATTCTTGAAACTTCATTGAGAAAGGCTAATCAAAGTAGCATGGCTTAATCCAGCAAAAAAAGATAAATGGAAGATTTAACGGCTACTTAAAAATAATTTTTTGTTTGTTCTTTGACAGTTTCACATGTCCTAATGCATTCCAATTGTGCCTCCCCTCCACTCACCATTATCAACCTCCATTCCTCTCTATTTATCCCTTTCCCAGATCCATGACTTCTATTTGGTGTTGTGACCCATTTAGTTTAAACAGGGTCATCTATGTGACCACTGGATTGGAATGATCAAACTCTGGTGGTCAGCAGCAGGTACAGAACTGAGGGTAATGACTCCCTGACCCCTGAACCTCTCATCAGCAAGTAGCTGAGCATCAAGGGGTAGGGATTTTATAGCCTTCCTTCGCCTACACCTGACTAGTCCCTAGTCCATTCTTTTCAGATGTAGTGCAGGAGCTAATGAAAAAGTATACACTAAACATTTACAAGTCTTAGTGAGTCATAGTAATATGACTATGAGGAAGTAAGATGAAATATATAAACTGACAGAACACAGAGAAATTTCTCAGTGTCTTTCTTAGCCAGTAGCCTATGTGAGTTTTATGGTTGGTTCGTTGGTTTGTTTTGAGACTATGTAGCACAGGCTGACCTCCTGAGTGCTAGGACTGCAAATGTGTACTGCCTGAGCAGATCCTATGCCTTACTTCTAAGATGATTCTATATATCTGGGGGAAATACTGGCTAAAAATCAAGTAAAACAGGAATTAAAAAACAAAAACAAAAACAAAAAAACACTTGGACATGGAACTGAAATCAACCAGGGCTTGGACCCTCGTTAATTAAAAGTATATCCTTTAAAAAGTTTTTGTACAGTATTCTGAAAAAAATGTTAAAGCATTTTTTTAATGTTGTCTTACCAACTTACATCAAAGAGATGCTGTAAAGGATTGGAATGGAGTTTTTCTTCATAGCCAAACAGCTGGAAACCAGTCCCCAGCAGACCTATCAAGATAATGAGTAAACGAAAAATTATACAATAAAATAATAGAACAGTTATGGTGAGAAACAGTTACAATTCTATAAAAGATGAACTTCTCAATTATAAACTCTGAAAATTACTGGTATATATAAGGCATATCTTATAAAATGACTCTCTCCAGCTCCAGTGGTAATTTTTCTGTGAGACTCAGCAGAGAATAGAATGCTATTTAACACAAGAGTATTCAATGTTCAAGATCCTAGACAGCACTGAGAAAGATGATTAAAGTTCTGTTTATTTTAAAAGAAAAACAAATGTAATTATGATTCAGGGTATTGGGAGCAGAATATGGAGATGCCCGGTGTATACTATTGAGAGCTGCTGGTAGCAAAAGGCCATGGGAGTATACAGCAGGTAACAACTAGTGTTCAGAAGGTCAACCTATCAGAACTAAGGGTTCTGTTGGAGGAAACCATCATGCAAGGCGTTTTGGAATTACTGCCTTTTGAATGAATTGGCTGTTTCTTAATGTAAACTTTTTCTGCAATACCAGCTATGATATCTCCCCATTACCATGCATCTTCATGTAATGTATATATTTAATCTCATGATTACATCTCAGTCTTATGGGCACATATATCTGTAGGTGGTCAGGAAGATGACTTTTCATTTAGCTGTATCATTTTGATTATAGAAATTGTATAGAAATTGTACTAAGACATGCTTCATAGCCAGATCCATTGTGCCACTAGACTGTGGACACTCAAAGCCTGCTTTTGTTCCTTTTGCTCAGACTAACACAGAAAATAATAATCTCTCCTCAGTCTAACACAAACTGCAGTGCATTTAGTTCAATTATACCTCAGAGCAGGTTCAAACTAGATTAAAGGCCTTTATATATAGATCATAAGTTTAAAACTTTACAGTTATGCACAAGGTCAGAGCCGCAGGTGTCTACCAAGGTTACTAACACAAAACACCCTAAGAAAAAACTGCCAATTCTTCACTTGCCAAGACTGCTGACAAAAAACTATGTCTCAGAGTCTGTGGCACTGAGCACTGCGCCCCTTCCCTCTGGTCCTGAGACCTTGGAACCTTGTTACCATGGTAATGGCTCTGCTCCTTATTGCAAGGAGTCTCCGGTTAGAAATACGGAGGAATCAGGCAAGAGAAGAGCTAAGAATGAAGGCTGAAAAGAAGCTGTAGATTAGAGAACTAAGGCAGAACAAAGACAGAACAGCAGAGAGATCAGAGGCAGAGAATTAGCTTACATAGAATAATAAAGAGAATGGACTGAAAGAGCTCGGTGTGCATAGATTCAATTGATATCCCTAAGATTAGAATCCCAGCCATTTGTTCGCGTCTTTTCTGGACTCTGGGAGAAATCACCTCGAGATTTCGGTGGTATACTAAAAGGAAGATGAGAGAAGTCAAAATGATTCCATTCAGTCTGATACATGTTGAAAGACTAATTCTGTGCACAGAAGCCAAGTGCCAACTTTCAAATGGCATAGCTGGAAGACAATTTTAATTCTTCTACAATGATGGCTATAATGGAATGCTGACAGATCATTAATTACAGTATTCCTATGCTGTGGAATACTAGTTTAAGATATTACATTCCTTTATGCTGTGGAATATTTAATGATGCGATGCAAAGATGTGTTGCGTTCTTTTATGTTGCATTTGTTTAACTCTGTAAAGCTGTGTTACTTTGCCTGCCTCAAACACCTGATGGTGTAATACAGAACCAAACAGCCAATAACTAGGCAGGAAAGGAATAGGTGAGGCTGGCATGCAGAGACAACAAATAGGAGAAAACTAGGGGAAAAAAAGAGCAAGGAGTGAGAAAAGGAGAGGAGGACGCCAGGGGCAAACCACCCAGCCACCCAGACAGCCATGGGGTAAGAAAGAAAGAAAGTTATACAGGATGAAGAAAGCTAAAAAACTAGAGGCAAAATGTAGTTAAAGAGAAACAGGACAATTTAAGATAAGTTAGAAAAGCTGGCTAGAAACAAGACAAGCTAAGGCCAGGCATTCTTAAGTAAGAATAAGTTTCCGTGTATTTTTTTGGGGAGCTAGGTGATGGGACCCCAAAATGTAAACAAAACAAAACAAAACAAAAAACCAACTACATTCCTAATAGAAAAATACTATTGTAAAATCCTTCAGCCAAAATTTGAGGATGACTCAAATCATATCCTTGCTGAAGTCTGTGAAATGTCTAAACCAGTCAAAGGAATAAAAGTGGATGAAGTCTTGATTGTTGTACCCAGAACTTAAACTCTGACTTACCCGCTGTTGTGAACTGAACAGACTATTAACAGGTCTAACTTCTACTTCTAAGGTCTGAAAACAGTTTTAGTAACGGAAGTAATACTACTCATAAGAAAAGGTCATGATAAATTTCTTATGCAAAGGTTTCTTTAAATGAAGTGGTCTTTCTTTTGGAAACTATGATTGTATGTTACTGGATGTGGGACATAAACGTGCTAGTGAATTTCAGAACTGGTGATGCACACTATATGCTTTCAGAGAAGCCTTACACTATCACCTAGCTTTGCTATTAGTACTGTAAGCAGTCATTTATCACTGAGTGCCTCTTACATGCCACACACTGTGGATACAAAAATAATTACGGCACAGTCTATACCTTCAAGGAATTAGCATCTTGTGGGAAAAAGAGCACACAAAAAGACTGCTACAACAAAAATCCTGATGGGGAGAGCTGTCTTCTAGGAATCTGCTGATATGTGTATCTCTCTGTCAGAGAATGTAGCAGTATAGCCAGATCTTAAAAACATTACAGGATTGTATTCAATGTGCAACCAGACCCTCACAGTCATCACCTACTTCACCTGTCTTACCTTCCTCATGCCTAGGTTACTGGGTTATATGAACCACAATGTTTCTAAATGACCTGAGACATGATTTATGGCATGCAAACCCTTTTCCTCCGCCCTCCACCTCTTCCACTGGAGAGTTCAAGAGAAAGCCAAAGTATCATGCTTTGTTTTACCTCTAGGCTACTCAGTCATATAATAACAGATCCCATTTCTCATAGGATGGTTTGGGGGGCAGGGAGTGTTGGACCTACTAGATTTAAAAACGGCAGGCTTTGGCCAAGATGGAAATACACAGCTAAACTTATTTGTTCTCTGTGTATTCATTTATACATTTAACCAATAAAGGTAAGCTACTCTTCCTTACTAAAAGCTTAACATATATGTGTTAAATGTACTAGTCTATTAGATATTGCTCTGAATATGTCAATTTAATTTTATGATGAGAATTATATAGACTATGTAACTCTACAGGCAGATACATACAGCTCAGTGGTAGCTCATGTACTAGGTATACAGGAGACCCCAGGTTCAATTCCTAGCACCACAGATACATTACACTATTTTATCCAACAGGAATCTTGTCTACATTCCATACAGATGATCAAATGATATAGTACTTAAAACAATTAAGCCATATAATAAAATGAAAAGCATGTCAAAATACTCACCAAACTGCATGCCCCAATCTCCAATGTAATTTATTCTTGTTACTTGATGTCCTAAAGCTTCTTTTAGATTTGCTATAAAATTTCCTAGTTGTAAAAAAATATAATCTTATTTTTTAAATCCATATTGGCTTTAAAACTCTGTACTTCTCTATTATTAAGTTTATTATTATAAGTAAATTATTATTATATAGAAAACCCTTCTAACAAAACGTACCAACTCAATCTTTTCTATAAAAGCATTCGTGATGTGTTTACTTGTGTGAGGATATGGAGTAAGGAATTACTTAGTGAGGCATTATTCCAAAGATTTCCATAATTTTCCCAAAAAGAGAATTTTCATCAGCATCATTACTGGCAGTTAGAAACACATGTCAGAATAATTACTACTCTTAGTTAATTCCAAGGAATATAGCATTCAGGGTGCTAGAGAAATGGCCCAGTGGTTAAGATTACTCGCTGCTCTTCCAGAGGGCCCAAGTTTGGTTATAGAGCACGGAAGGAATGGTAGAAGACGTAGATCTTCCTTTGGTAACCAAACTCTGTGGAATGTTTTGAGAGCTGTTTATGTCAGCTTAATTAAAAACGTCTTTAGTTCTCCCAATAACTTTGAGAACCATTCTATATTCTATAATAAATCATTTCCTGATTTAAATATAGTGGCTTGCTGGCAAATAGTTGTAATCCTAGCACTTGGGAGTCTGAGGCACGAAGATTGTTAGAAGTTCTAGCTTAGTGTGGGCTATATAGTAGTTCTAGGTCAAGTTGGGCTACAAATAAGACTCTGTAACACATCAACAAGATTAAAAAAAAAAAAGCCTAACTTGAATTATATCGTCTTCCTTCTTTGCAAGCATCTTTATTTCCACACCTTTCAAATCTATAGTCTCAGCAGAAACAATTACCTTCTTCAGCTGCTGCCAATATTGTGTACCTGTTTTCTTAGTATACAGTCAGCTCACAAATACAAAAATCTGAATATATATGTATGGTTCAGAATTGGACTATTTCAGATACCAGCCACAAATACTTTATCCATGTGATCTTGGGAAAGTTACTTCTTATGTCTGAATTTCTTCCTCATAAATCTTAGTTAACAGTACTTTCCAAACGGTGCTGTTGTGACATTGAATGGAAAAAATATATACACTAATTGGTAAACTGTCCTGTGCTGTTCAAACTCAAAGAGAAGCTGTCTCCACCCCAACTTCAGACCCAAGCATGTGGGCCTTTGATTGAGAATGGGCTGGTTCCCCTAACTCTGTAACATGGAGGGAAGAGTAGCAAAACGTGAGTCTAAACCCTGTGTCCATGCAAAGAGCTGGAAGATAAATCATCTCCACCCGAGGTTTATCCTGACATAAAGCGCTGAGAGTAGGAAGGAGAAGCTGGAGGTGGAAAACTCAGCTGACTGTCTCAAGGTCCCACACCGGTTCAGCTGAAGTCGGGAGTGGCTGAAGTGACATTACCCCTGACTGTTGCTGCTTGTTCTTATACCTGGAAGTCTCACCTGAGGAGACTCTCTTAGCTGGGAACTCTACTAACTGGCTGTCTTAAAAGGATTTCCCGGTTGGTTTCTGCTGAATGTTCTGAGCACCTGATTTGACCATATTTTGGTTTTATGCTTTCTTTCTCCATCTGCCCACTCACTTTGTCTCTTTCTCTCTCTGCCTTGCTGTTTATTCTTTTACTTGCTATATACTTAATAAACAAATACACTCATACAAAACCAAAACTATGGCTATTGAAGAATATTTTCTAGACTCTGGACTGCATAGACCAACGAGGTAGCATATATAAAATTTCAATAAATATTCTCCCCTCCTGATCAAAATATTTTCCTGATAAAGTGATTACTTTATCATGTACCACTTATCCATTTACTCTTAGGTTTTTGACTCAATTCAATGTGGATTGTGTTAAACAATATATTTCTTAGATACTTTTGGTAAAGTTTTGTCATTTCTTCCTATAAAACACTGCTCAAGGACTTTATAACAATGAAAGCTTTCTTTTTTTAACAATAATCTGCCACTTGTACTAATTTTTCCGATTTTTAAATATATCAAACTCCAATTCTACTACTGCACAATTCTAAGTTGAGTTTTGAAGTGCAGCTCTGCAAACTATTTTAAATAGAGGGCAGCACTTGGGATGGCTCAGTGGTTAAAGAGCGTCTGCTATGTTGGCTGCTCTTGACAGAACTAGAGTTCAATTCTCCACACTCATGTTGGGTGGCTCACAACCACCCAGAACTCTGGACTCTAGGCAGTTCCCACACCTACACAAATGCTCACGTGCTCACACACACAGACACACAGATGCACACTTCAAAAAATCGTATTATGCATTGAAGCTTTATAACTATGAAGTACTTTTAGTATTCGTAGAGTAAATAATTTCTATTAAAAATTTTAGTTTCCAGTCTTAAAAATTACAGATACATACTGAGAACAAAGTTATTTAAAACAAAAACATAGGAACAAAAAATATGAAAGATTTCTGCCAACTCCACAGAAATAATTTGTGACTATTCAGTTTTCTGTATGCGTAACAGTTAAAATCATAACATACATACTGATGAAAACTGATTTCAGAGTCTTTACCTTTTGAAATAAATTCTGGTTTTTAATGTAAACCAATTTTTCAATTTAGTGCAACATTTACTTAGCATTATGCTCATGTAATTTACATTTGTGGAGCTTCTTTCCTTTTCATTTAAACTCTGAACCATTACATTGCACTATCATATATGTTCCCTTAGACATGTTTAGTGCTTTCTATTAAAGGGAATACTTACCTATGATGGTGGAGCGCAAATGTCCAACATGAAATTTTTTTGCAACATTAGGTGAACTGCAAAAATTGCAAGAATATTTTCTTATTCCAGTAACAAAAATTTTGAACATGAACTAGATAATGCCTCTCTAGGGTAACATAATTAAGGAGCAGGGCTTTTGGTAATTCAGGAGAAAGGTAAGTTGGACACCAGAATTAACAGTAAGGATAAATTAGAATTTGGAAGGAATCACCTATCACTGACCAACAATCATTGATCCTGTGATCCACAAAGTAGTGTGACACTCAGAAATGGCATGCTTATGAAACAAAGTATTTTAAGATTAGGAAGATAAAGTGCTGAAGAGATGCTCAGCAGGTAACGGTGTCTGGGGACAGGACTGACAGTCTGACAAAATGTCCCCTGAAACCATCAATCTGACATTTCCTGGAACCATGTGCTACTAAGAAGGGAATCCTACGAAATGGAAATGGCAAACTCAATTCCTTTGGCAACCAAAGTAGCCACGATGGAATTATAACTGGATACCTTACTTTCGTAGCTAATGTGATTTCCTAAATCTTATGAGAAGGGACACATACAATTTATTTAAGAGAGTGCTGTGATTTAAATGAGAAATGTCCCCCATTGGCTCAAAATGCTGCATCCTTGGTCCCAAGCTGGTGGTGCTATTTGGAAATTTTGTAAGAGGTGGTCATAGTTGGCTACACATCCAGTTCAACACCAATGTGGAGATCCTGTCTAAAACAAGGAAAGGCAAAAACATACTAGAGATGTAAAATATCTATTTTTGTCTTTTTTATTCCTGTTTTAATGACTGATTCACTGTGATCCTAACAAGGTAACATAGTGTCACTGATTTTCAACTTCCCACGTGTAATTTAATGCAAACTCAATCAGGGAGTTATGATCCTCTCTGCCCTTTCAGCTGGATTAGTCAGCACAAAGGATGATTAGCCACTGACCTGAATTCAACCACAATCCTCTTCTGGGGAAGACCTGAGAAAAGTTCACTTTTTAACCCATATTTAGAGCCGTCTTCAAGGACTTGCTGCAGCACTGCCTGGGAAACAGAAGGGGTGGGATTCAGTGATAAGAGAAAGAAAAATATAATCCATGTTCTTAACTACTGTACTACTGGAAATTAAATGTTGCTAACTTGTTCACTCTAATTACAGAGCCGCTAGAATCAACATCACCTGCTGCCAGTTCCTCTAAGAGCACTTAAAACGTGAGCTAACAATGAAGGGGCTACTCAGGGCCTATAAATCTAATCTATTCAATATTACAGTAACCACCGGTGATACCCAGAGATCAGGACGTTGAAGCTTCGTGAGGTCAACTGCAAGAGTCCCATGGAAATGGTAATCCCCCAGCCAAGAGCAGGATCTGATCAGTCATTGAGCAGACTATGTTACAAAGACTGGGAGGAGGATTTTACAAGTATTAACTCAGTCTGCACGACAGCTTTGGAGATGAGTGCTATGCTCACAAACAAGGAAGGGAAAGCATGAAGGTTGATTTTCCTAAGGTCACAACAGCTCAGTTGATAACAGCACTTTCCTTGCCTGTACAAATCTTTGTGCAAGCCTAGCACCGCATAAACCTGGTGTGGTGGTGCATGCCTATAAACCAGGCACTCAGGAAAGAAGTTCAGGTCATCATTGGCTACATATCCAGTTCAAGGCCAGCCTGGGATACAGGAGACATGAAGTTAAATAGCACAAATTCTCCGAATCAAGTGATTAATTTTTATTTAGTAACACAGAACTACAATGTAGTTCACAAAATTCATAAATTATTTTTGAGCAGTTACAATGCACTTTTTATAGCTTCTCTTATTTATGTGTATTTTAAACTTTTTTATTTGTATGAGTGTTTGCATGTATATACAAGAACCACATGGTGCCTGGTGCCTGCAGAGGCTAGAAGAGGAGGCAGGATCCCTGGAACCAGCACCACAGATGGTTGTGAGTCACAATGTGGGTGCTAGGAATGAACCTGGGTCCTCTGCAAGAACAAATGCTCTTAACCTTTGTGCCATCTCTCCAGCCCCCTAATTTTTCATTTGAAACTACTGTTATAAAGTTGGATTTGCATTGGTTAACTTCATCTGGGGCCTTAAAAATGTAGTGTATGGTAAGAATTTTATTATCAAGAATTAGTTAATGTAGTCTAGAAATGAGCCAAGGCAGACGGTGCGTGCTTGTAACGCCAGCAAATCAGAGGGAAGGGAAAAGAAGGAAGATCCTGGGTTACTGGCTAGCCTAAGCTACACAGTGAGACCCTGACTGAGCCTAATTAACCCACTGAGACTAATTAATGCTGCCTGTATCCTTTGGTGTGTGGCCATCCAGTGGAGCATGTTCAACCCACCAGGGGTCAAATCTGTAAAGAAGACTAACTTTCCCTTTGCTAGCAGTGATCAATTACAAGTGTAGTTTTTAACTACTAATGTAAAGGAGGTACTAGAGTTCCATCATATTTCAATACAGAAAACACTAAAATCTAATATATTTACCAATGTGCATGTTCAAATGTAAGCTAACTTCATGTAAATATTGGTGCATAAAGGGTTTTAATTAGAAATGAAGTCTTTCTAATTAAATGAAGTCCAGTTTTGAAGCGTGAGGAAATCAATGGATACTCCGATTGGGTGGCACTTTCTGCTTGTCTGTCCTCATCCTTTTCTGTGGATGACTTACGTCCTTCCTCTTTTCTAGCTCTACTGGTTGACTGTTTCCCTATGCCTGTCAGCAGACTCCTAAGGAATCTATCACTACCTACTTGGCCTTGCCAGTTCTTTGGTATTAAAATCATTCATTATTTATGTAAGTTTCTAAAAAACAAAATGTGGCTTGAAAGTATTCACTACCTACAGGTAAACCTTATTTAGTGAAGACACGAAACAGCTCCTCCTCCTCTTGGTAAAGTAGGCAAAGTTGGATTTGCAAATAAAAAATGTGACTTTTTTCACCATGGATTTTTCAGATATATCCAAGAAAATAAAGTTTTGGCTGTATTTTTTAGAAAATGCAAATAGAACTTGATTTAAACCATCTTTTCTCCCTCTTAACTGAATTAAGTAACACTAAGGGCTATAGATCTCCTACAAATGATCTCAAGCTACTGACAAGTGGAAGTGTGGTATGAAAAAGAGTTCTTCACAGCATTATGTGTCTTCCACCTCACCTAGCCATGGAGATACTTGCAGTAACTAATCCAGCGGGACATCTCTAAGCTGGGTAACATTCTACAGTTTCTCAACTGAAATAAAGTATAAAACTTGTGGCCACTGAAAACTTAAATTATTTTACAAATATTTTCCTTGGAAGCATAAACCTTATCTCTTTCAGCTAAAGTAGCTTTAAAGGTAAAATTTGTCTTTTCCCCCAGTATAAGGAAAAACAAAAGGAGGAAAATACTGCTATTAAGGGCTTAAAGTATGGAAGGCACATTTGGCAAGATTCATTTCTACTTCCAAATAACTGGCAAAATAACTATAAAAGCATTGCTTAAAAGTGGTAAATAAGTAACTTAGTGTGATATCAAGAGAATTCTGAGCTTGAGGCCGGCCTTGGCTAAATGTTGAGACCATGCAGGGAAGGGGCTGGGGGTTGGGAGAGGAGGACACCAAAAGGTTGTAGGTACTATTTAACAAGCTCAAAAAACATCCATGTCTGTGGGGGTAGATTTCTGATTTACTTCAGAATGAAAGATGGCTGAAAAAATAAAATCTCCATGGTCTGGAAAAAAGCACTAACCATTGAGAATAATCCCAGGACTGATGAGCAAATGCCTGAGACTAAACAGTCCACAGATAGATCTATATCCAGAGAACTTTTGACCTTGTAATTATTTTCAATTCAAGACTGCCACATTTACTAAGCCTCAATACCCCAATAGTGGGCTATATTTTATTTATAAGATAGGCCAAAGCATGCAGTATAGCTTTACAAGTTTGATCAAGATGAACTTGACTTAAAGGTTCATATAATCACTTATCCAGGGTCACCTGTTCTCGATGTGTTAGCTTGAGTAAGAGTCAATTACTTCACACGGTTTCCCCAGTACCTTCGGGCCATCCCCATATCCGCATCTGAATTTTTTTATTCTTACAGTATTAAAACCCTTTTCACTTTATTATTCATTGTTTTGTTAAAAGAAAAGGCTATCCCACGGTTTCTCCATCTTAAACCTTATGCTTCCAAAAGATTACAGCAAACCAGGAAGTAGAAACCAACATACTTTTACTACAGAGCACACTTATTCATTCAACAAACAGTTATGTATCTAGAATCCATGATGTACCAGGCATTATGTCAAAACATGGAAACAGAACAGTGGGAAAGACAGATGCTACAAACCCCAGAGTGAATTAGAGCTAAAAGCAAAAGTGGCATCAGTGGAATAAATGAACTGTGCAGTGCACACCTTTAATCCCTCTTGTGAGGCAGACACAGGAGGATCTCTGTGAGTTCGAGGCCAACCTGGTCTACAGATCGAGTTCCAAGACAACCAGGGCTGTTACACAGAGAAACCTTGTCTTGAAAAACCAAAAAAGAAATAAGAGAGGGAGGGAGGGGGAGGGAGAGAGAGAGAGAGAGAGAGAGAGAGAGAGGAGAGAGAGAGAGAGAGAGAAGGAATGTAAAATAGCAAGGTAATTTCTGCAAGGAAGAGATTAACAGTGCTATGACACCCTATAATGAACAGATCAGTAAGCGACTGTCAAGGCTAAGGAAGTAACTCAGTGGCAAAGTGCTTGCTTAAGGATATGAAAGGCCCTGGATTTGAACACTGGAAGTACAAAACAAACAAACAAACAAACAAACAAAGTGAGAGAAAGAAAGAAAGATTAACTTACATTGCACTCTAGACTGAGGATCAACCATATGTATATCAAGTTTGAGAGCTGAATGATCAGTGTGGCTAAACCAGCATAAAAGCACAGAGACCAGACTATATCCATTCTTACCTTTGTTAATAATTCTCTGTTTATTTTGAAATTCAGAGTCCCTGGACCAGCACTGATGGCAGTCACCACTGTATCACATTTAAGCTGAAAAATAACCAATCAAGTAAAGCAGGCTCTGTTATAGAACAGACCTAATGAGACAGACAGTTCTGACATGAAACTGGCTTACAAGACAGCAGGTGAAGCAGTTCTCGGGCATTACAGCTGGACCAGGGGCTTAGCCAACATCTTCTGCTCCAAAATTCTATTTACATGAACCCATTTTCTCTTCTTCTTTCCTCACTAGAATGCTATTCAGTCTCTCCCTCCCTTTCTCTTTCCTTCACCTCCAACTTCTCCATCTATCACACAGTGACACTATCGTATTCATCTTTCCTGACAGGCACAAACAGGACATCGTGCCGGGACCGACTGCTGAAGCACTTGCACACACAGAGAATGGCCTCCGAAAGGGTCTGTTTTCCCTGCACGTGTGCATTTAAACCTTCTGATAGATTTGTGGAACTCAAGATGCCTGCTGTCCCTGCAGAACAACCAATCTGTATTTCTGAGAACTTAAAAGACATGGAGAGGTTAAATACTGTAATTAGATTAATTCTACTCCTGGTATCAGAATTTTACATCAGGTATATCCTTATTAATAAAAAAATCAGAGGTGATTTTGTTATCAAATAACTATTACTGTTATCAAAGCTCCTTTCGCAATCATTTTTTTGCGATACATTTTTTTTCAGTAGTGATTTTTAGTATTTCAATTATTTTAGAGTTCCTACACATCATCTTTGAGAAATATATAACCCTATTAATAAAAATTTAAAAACAAACAAACAAAAGCTTCCCAGCATGATTTGTGTGAGGTCTGAAGCTAACAATTTAGATTTGGTCAGGCACTACAATCTTTCCAATTCCTCTGTTTTACTAGACCCATGAGAAAGAACTTAGAAATACAGAAAGTTTATTAAATCATCTAACTACGATTTCTCTGTGATCATCCCATTCACTCCACATACATTATTTCTTCTCAGAAGCTCATTTCAAAAAATTGCAACCTACTACTAATATATCAAGTTTGTTTTCCTAGATTCAACCATTTATCCAGAGGGCTGGGGGACTGTCAGGTGTTAGGAGCACTCACCGGCTGCTCTTCCAGAGGACCGGACACTCTTCCTAGCATTTACAACTGTTTGTAACTCCACTTGCAGGGGAATAAATAAATCTGTCTTTAAAAGTTTATACAGTTTCAATCTATAGCTTCACACTTCAGTCCTGTGGCTAATAAAAAATAAAACTGAGCAAAACACCAACTAAACAATGTTAGCTCACAGGGTGTGCTAATCAGTTGTCATCATCAACCTGACATAAACCTAGTTACGGGAGAAAGGACCCTCACTGAAGAATTGCCTTGATCAGATTGTCCAGACTGTTCCAGGGTGTATGTGAGAAATTTTCTTGATTGATGACTGATGTGGGAGGGTCCAGCCCACTGTAGGTGGTACTATTACTGGGTAAATGGGCCCAAGTTGTATAAATAGGCAAGCTAAGCAAGAGCCAGAGAGCAAAGCAGCAAGCAGCATCCCTTCATAGTATCTGCATCAGCTCCTGCATAAGGCCCTGTCTTGAATTTCTGCAGTGATGGACTGTTACCTAGGCAAATACCCCCGCGCCGCACAAGTCATTTTTGGTCATGCTTACCACCGCAACAGAAAAACTATAACAAAAGAAATATGCTACAGCTAGTTTAAAAACCACGGAAACCTCATAGAATACAACGAAAATGAACCGAAATGTTTTTTAAGCTGTCTTGAACAAAGAAACACTATTAAATTCGTTATAGCTAGAACAATCAGACTGCAACCCACAGAACCAGGGAGGCTACATAGCAGGGGGGACCCTAGGATGACTGTGGCTTATAGTAAGTTTTGGTATTACTCAACCACTGGGCAAGCCTCGGTGAAACATTTCACTATTAGGATAAGAATTTATACTGTATCAAGCTGATAATAGAAAAAAATAAATAAATAAAAATGAAAAAAAATTCATTATAGCTGAGTTAGCCTGCAGAGCTCTGCTCTCCTTTAACGCTAAGTTTATTATAACACAGAGATAAAATACCTTCTCTGTCAGTCTCCTGGCATGATCTTGAGTATCTAGTTTTGACTGGTGATTGTTGTCTTCTAGCAAGGAATCCACAGAAAGCTGGAAATCTGCCACTTCTCTAAAATAAACATTGAAATGGTAAAGAGTTGTTATAAAAACATTGCTTGTCTAGCAAACAGTAATCACTGTGGATTATGAATACCTCAAAATTAAAAGCCAAGAAATACAAATCTTTGTATTTACCTCTAACTTTTAAGATTTTGGTTATTTTATAAAATTCTTGCATATTACCTAAGTGTCGTACTGCGATATCTCTAAAGCGGACAGAGATATCTGGCAAGTTAAATGCATCTAGTCAGCACATTCTGAAAAGGCCAAGTCACTTGACACCTGTTTTAAGGCTGCTTCTCCTACTCTAAGTGCTTGTTTGTAATTGTCCAAATAACAAAGACAGAAATGTTTTTAAATAGTTGTAATTTAAGTTTCAACATGACAAAAAAAGAATGTTATTCATAACAGTCGTTCACTAGCGACACAGACACAGCTATTTGTACTTTTCACTGAACCATGGTTAAACTAATGAAAACTTCAGTGCAACCAGCTAAAGGAATAATCGTTTACATGAAGTCAGAAGCGATCTGCAAGTAAGAAGGAGGGTAACAGAATCGAAGAAATATATCCAGTCACTGTTAGCATTCTGAACCACCCCTTGGGACCACCCAGTGTCGTGGCTTCATTTCATGTAAAAGCCTTCCGTAAAAAAAAAAAAAAAAACACCTCTCCCCCTCCTTATTTCTTCTTCCTCCTTTTCCTCTTTCTTTTCAAGAGGTTGTGCGAATCTCAGCCTTCCTTTCTCTCCTTTTCTCTCTCTCTTTCCCTCTCACCCCACCCCCTTAATAAACTTTCCACGTGGATGTTGTGTCTGCATGATGTGAGTAACTTTCCACGGCTCCATGCCTCAGCCTGCTGCCTTGTCTGCATGGCCTGTCTTCCTCACCCACTGGGGCACCTTGACTCAACCCACCAAGGCCTCCTGCATGCTGTTTCACAACATTAACAGTTGCTACAATAGTATTTTCACAGTCTCATTGAGAAAAACAAAACAAAACAAAATCAAATCACCCCCCACAAAAAAAAGAAATTTGGAAAAAAAGGTTTGGCAGTTTAGATGGCTACCACATTGAGAGTGGCTCATCATATTGTCTCTACAGATTTTTCTGTAGATGTGATAATGTATGTTACATGTTACTTTTAATTAATATACAAACAACTGCACGACTACATATATTGACATCTGAAGTTCAGCAGAGAACTGGAAAAGAGTTAAGTGAGGTGTATCATTGTTTGTCAAGCCCATGTGTCATTCACTTAGAAGAATACACACTGAAAGGGTACAAGTGACTTCTTTCATAGTGTGGGGGGGCCCAAAATAGCTGGACCACACAGCTGCCCTGACAGGCTTAGAGGCCCAGACACAGCTGCCCTGACAGGCAACACCCAGAGCTGGGAAAAACCATAAGCTAACACCACCCAAGATCCACCTAGCAATGCGCCAGCATCTAAGAGAAGTACCTGACATCCCAAACATTCCAACCATTAGATAAGACTGTCAGATGTCCCTGAGCCTAGCACACATCTATTTCCTTTTACAGATACCCCTGGACAAATGTCAGCCAATCAAGAGTCCTGAACCCTAGAAATCCCCTCACCCCAACCTCTGCTATGATAAAAATCCCACCCTGCCTGGGCTCCTGGTTCACTGTTCTCACCAATGCATCGGACAGGGCATCCTAGCTCCAAGCTTGAAAATAAAGACTCTTTGCTTTTACATAGAGGATTCGTTCTCTGTGGTGGTCTTTTGGGGCACACACATATCCCTTATCACATACAGAGAAATGGCTAAAAATTCCTGTATGGCTTCTGCTTAACATCACATTATAAAACTTAAACTCTAATGACCACTAAGAAGTTTCCTGGGAGGTGGGCACAAAATAACCAGACCTACCCAAGAAGCTATGTGCAACTGATGCCTCCTGGGAAAGGGAAATACAGCTTTCACCAATGGAGTGTCCCTGGATACAGCAACCACACTACAGAGTACACCCCATGCTCAAGAGTTGTTGGCCAACTGAAAAAGGATTTTTTTGTGGGCTTTTAATTTCCTTTTGGTACTTTTAGTCTTATTGGTGTTGTTTGATTTTTGTTTTGTTTTTGTATTTTCTTTTTAAAGTTAGATGGGGAAAGAACATGAAGTTGGGCTCATAGGGGAATGGGAAGAATCTGTGCAGAGTTGGGTATGAGAAAGAATATGATCAAAATATATTATATGCAGTCTGCTGGAGACCTGCTTTGGCAGGGGTTCAGGGTCTCAAAGAGGATGTGTGGAGGCAGGATTGTTAGGATTCTGCCGCCACTCCAGCTGCATGACCGCACATGCACAGCTCAGGAGCTAAGCTCTTACATCATCAGTGTGCAGTGTGATTGCGCAAATGTGCACTGCTGCACAGTCAGCCACGCAATCAGTGCATGCCTGGCGTAGCTCCGTAAGCCTACCTGCGCATGTGCACGGGAATCCTTAAAAAGCCGCACACAGACTCCTCCTCTCTCTTCTCTGTCCTCCCCACCCCCCCCCCCTCTCTCTCTCCGCTCTCTGCACATGCTTCTTCCCCAGGCCTGGTTCTTTTGTCCCCCCTCAACCCCCCCAATCAAGCTCTGATACTGGGTTTTGTTGTGGCTCGTGCCTCATGACCTTTCTGCACGGTAACCAGTGCTGCTTATCATTTTTTAAAACAACACATATACTTATTAGTATTATACAGACTGAACAGGTAATATTTAGGAATAAATATGCATATATCTATACTTATTTGCATGCAACAAAAGTTAAAAAAGGGGGGGCATAAAATTAAAGTTCGAGCAGGGAGGGAAATATGGGAAGATTTGGAAGAAGGGAAGGGAGAAATATTGTAATCAAATTATAATCTAAAAATAAATAAAAACAAGGTAAAAATGTATTATATGAAAAAATAATTTAAAAAGGAAAAGAAAAACCTAATGAAATTTCCTGAGTCTTTTTTTTTTTTTTTTTTTGGTTTTTCTCTGTGTAGACCTGGCTATCCTGGAACTACTCTGTAGACAAGGCTGGCCTCAAACTACTGCACCACCACTGCCTGGCAATTTCCTGGGTCTTTATTCATTGGCTAACAATTTAGCATGGAATTTAGTTACTAATCCAAACTGTATCTCAGCTGTTACAACAAATTCAAGTTCATCATTAATGTCTGTGTGATTCTGGACACCTTGCTCAATCTCTTGGTATCTCAGTAAAATGATGAGAACAATGGCATCTATTTTACAGGGCTATTGAGAAACATCTTGGTGATGAATGATGTTAGTCACAGGTCTGATGGTCAATAACATATCAAATATTACCAATATAACATCTTGAGGAAGTTTTTTCTCTGTCCTTTATATACTAAAATGGCCAGCAAACTGTGCTCTTGTTTCTTTTCTAAGATTATTCTTTACAGGTACATTAAGACTCCATTTTCTGAAAAAGAATTTTGATAATGTAGTCAAGTATTTGAACCAATCTATGGGCAACTAAAGAAATTATTTTAGCAAAACAGGGATAAAACACAAAGCAGGACAGAAACAAACAAACAAAGATTTTTAAAAGTCAAAGAAAATAAAGTAAAACTAGAAGTAATAAGAGCTCTAATTTTGTGGAGGGGTCCCAAAACAGCTTGACCACACAGCTGCCATAACAGGCTTGTGTGGATCATTTCAACATGAAGGGGAAAGTGTCCTGAAATTTCTAACTAGACTGCCTATTACATTTTTTGTACTGAAAGAGTAAGTGGAGGAGTGGGGAGCATTTAAAAGATGTAATAGCTATGGTTTGAAAACCTGTAGCTATCAATAGTATACAGTGCAAGAGAAAACTATAGACCAGACATGGTCCTGTGCCGACAATGATGGTGGTGGGTGATTACCAAACAGGTTTTGTTAAAGTAGCTCTTCTACTTTCTTTTTTTTTTCTTTTTTTTTTTTTTTTGAGACAAGGTCTCTCCCTACATAGCCCTGGCTGTCCTGGATTTCACTGGGTAGGTCAGGCCTTAAACTCCTTGAACTCACGGAGAGAGCCGACCACCTCTGACTTCTACGTCCTGCGATTAAGGCGTGCACCACCACACCCAGCCCTACTTTCATTTTTTTCAAAGCTAAAAATAGTAAGTTTATAGGCACTCTCTAGTACTTGCCTTCTCTTCCTATTTATTTCTTTTCCTAATCATGAAAAGAGGAACATTCACCTCTCTCACCTGAAAGTTCTAATAAAATTAAGGGAACAAAGGATATACTGATACTGAGAATTTCATATTCTACCTTTAAAAACCTCCCACATGACAATCTTCTTATTAACTAACTGATAGAGTACAGCCATCCTTTAGTCCTGTAATCCCTGTTACCAGGCAAAAGTCATCTTTTAGTTATTAGTATATTATTTGAGATATGAAAAATAAATTTGTTCATGTTTAGTGCAGATGCGATTTCTTTTCTTTGAACATTTTTGTCCCTGCAGTCTAAGGTAGACTACATTTTATCCAAACGCTGAAGTTTTTTTAGCAAAATGATAAGCTAACAGTTAGGATGACCACACTAATAAGGAAACAAAAACATTTTCCTATATCTAAGAAAACAATATCATTTTTATATAGCCCTAAACAACAGTTCTCTATCACTTGGGAATCTTCAAATGAAAACTCAAACAAAAACAACACAACCAGAATGGCAGATAAGTATGGTACGATAGCATTCAAGCATTAGATTATACAACATTCAATATTCCTTCAAAAGCTGAGATTATAACCACATTTTCATTCTTTTATTAAACAATTAAATTAGAATCTCTTTTCTAAAGACTGACATAATTATTGCTAACAAAAACAAACATGAAAATAATTGACAAAGGAATATTACATTTCACCACAGAATACCTAAATAGAATTGTAATTTTATGATAGCAATTGTAGTAAGTTGAATATAATGAATCATAACTCTAAGGACTATTCTGTAAATTGAAGAGTTAAGTAAAATTGGATTGCCAACAAATTCAACAATTTGAGATCATTGCAAGTATACTTAACTCTTTTTTTGAAACTGGAACTGCAGATATTGACTTGATCAAGCTTTCTGGTGGAAGAGCCAATATTCTGGAAAGCTAAAAGTAAAAAAAGAACAAAACAGGATAAAAATTGTTGATTTATCTATTCTAGAGTGAACGGAATACTACTAGCAACAAAAGAAATATCATTAACACACACTTCACATAAATGAACCTCAAATATATAATATCAAGTAAAACCCATATTAAAGAAGATATATAGTATGATTCAATGTTTCTGATAGCCTAGAAAACAAAAAACTATCAGACTGAGGTAAAGATTTGCAGGTGTTAGGGGTTGAGTATAACATAATGGTTTGACTATAAAGTAGCAAGCAGGACTACTTATCTTTCAATGGATTTTATGTTTGTCAATTTATAAGAAAAATCTAGAGAAATATATGACAAAAGATATGAATCACTGAGAATCCAAAAATATTTTTCATTAAAAAAATACTTATTGAGGGCTGGAGAGATGGCTCAGCGGTTAAGAACACTGACTGCTCTTCCAGAGGTCTGGAGTTCAATTCCCAGCAACCACATGATGGCTCACAACCATCTGTAATGAGATCTGGTGCCCTCTTCTAGCATACAAGCATACATGTAGACAGAATAAATAAATAAATCTTAAAATAAATAAATAAATAAAATACTTATTGAGTAGCTAATGTGTAGCAGGCAGAATTTTAGGCATTGATGCTATAAGAATGAACAAAAGAGAAAAAAGTTTTATGGCACTTAATAGTAACAAGTAAATATTAGGAGAAAAAAATCTGCCGGGCAGTCGTGGTGCACGCCTGTAATCCCAGCACTCGAGAGGCAGAGGCAGGTGGATCTCTGTGAATTCGAGGCCAGCCTGCTCTACAGAGCTAGTCCAGGACAGGCTCCAAAGCTATAGAGAAACCCTGTCTCGAAAACTCCCCCCCCCCCAAAAAAAACCCCAAACATCTGATCCCCATGCCCAAACCCTAAGGTTTACTCATCAGAATAGTAGGAATAACAAAACAAAACAAAAAATAAACAAAAGCCAAGGCAAAGGCCGTGGCACCAGCCACTTGCCCTGGGTTTGGTATGTATGAGGCCCCAGATTGTTCCTTAGTACACAAACAATAACTAAGCGGAAAAAGGTGCATGAAGCTTCTTTCATGCTTATGTTAGGTTTGGTGGTAGAGGCATTTCCATGTTCAGAGCAATCCTGTGACAGGCACATAGGATTTAGTTCTTCCTCGGGCATGTGGAATACGAGAGAGAACTTTGTTAAGCAGTCAGAGACCATTACAGAAAACCACAACCAATCACAATGCAGTTGTGGAGCTCAGCCTCAAAAGTTTGGTGCAACAAATTTAAGGGATGGCTTCTGGGAACTGGGAATTGCACTGTGAAGAGTGAGAACGAAGGAGAAGAGTTTAAAGAAGAAGATTGTACCAACAGGGCTGGGACAAGGCTCAATTGGTAAAGTGCTTGCCATGAACGCACGAGGACCTGGGTTTAGAACCCTAGCATTCTTCTAAGAGCTGAGCTGTCTGTAACTCCAGTGCTGGTGCTACAGAGTGGGGTATTAGGGATGGGGAAGAAAAGGGTCTAAAGCTGGGTATGAAATAACCAAGCTGATCAGATAAGGAGGAGGGCAGGGGAGGGGAAAGAATGTGATAAAAATACATTGCATGAAAATTTTTTTTTGCATAAAAAAGGAGGATAGGGTTATGAGCTAGTGTCAGCAAACCAGTTGGCTTCCTTGAGGAACATTTGCAAGACAATGTTGCCCATTCATAGGAAAAGAAATAAGGATTGTACCTATTTTAGGAAGGAGACCACTCCTGACTGCCACACAGACAAGGAGTTCTGGCATAGGTAACCAAGAAAAATTCTAGCAACACCTTGGTAATGCCAATGAGAATTCCTGAAAAGCTGTGTCCGCAGTAGCTAAGTGATTAAAACTTCAGTGGCTGTGGAGAGTTCAGAATGTAGAGATCCAGAGCCTATTTACAATTCATCTTGGTCACCTCCCACCATTGGACCTAATATCCTCCTCCTGCTGGCCAAACATAACATCCTGACGAACAGATACAACCTTCTGGGGTGCATTAACTAAACAAAACCCTAGCTTCCCACCCAGCACGGGACTAAAAGTGCTGTCAGAAATCACCCAAGGGCCAGAGCAGAGTTAGCCCATCTTATTGTGACCTACCTCGCCAATGATTCCACCAATATATTTTAAAATGCTTTGACTTACAATTTTCTTTGTTCTGTTACTGTAAAAACTCCATGAAACTGCTTCATATTGGACCTATGGAAACTGGGGTACCACAAATCCATGTTCCCTCAAATTTAGCTCTAGAATAAACTATCTCTTACCCCCTTAGAGTTGAGAGCTGTAGATTAGCATCGACAGTAGTTATGATAGGTGTTAATTTCCTGCCATGGTAGAACTAAAAGCTGGTCACATAAAGATGAGAACAAAGAAAGCAGAGGCTAATTCATGGCTTACAGATCCTGCCGAGGGCTAAGAACGGCAACTCCTGCAAGGTGCACTGACTAGCAATGCCTTCCTGGGATAAAGGTCAGCAGAGAGTCATAGTCAACAGCTCAAAAGGCAAGTCAAAGATAGAGAAAAGGGGGTTCAAAGTATGATCACCTCCCTAATTGAGCAAGTAGTGCATAACATCCTGTGATCAGCTCTCTGGTGGGCCAGAGAGACATGCACAGCCATTAGAGAAACCTTGAAACACCTCCCCCACCTCCCACCACTCACACAAATAGCCACAGACTCCCCGACTCTGGATTTCTTTTTCCTCCCATTCCTGAGGTAGAAGCCTGCCTCAATAAATAAAAAACAAACAAACAAAAAACCAAAAACATCGTTTCATTCTCTCTGTCTCTCAGTCTTCTGTATTTCTTGTATTTTGGGCTGTTGTCTGTCCCAGACAGTCAATTCTTTGCCTGTCCTATGCCAAGAATTCAGCTAACCCCAGAATCACCATCACACCTTGGGCTCCCTGGCTAGCCAGTCTAGCTGAACGGGTAAACTCCAGGTTCAGTAAGAAAACCTGTCTCAGAAAACGAGGTGGACAGTGACTAAGAGAAACACACTCACACCAATGCATAAAAAAATAAAAAATAATAAAAGAGAAACACACACCCAAACTCTGGCCTCTCCACATGAAGGAACACACAAACAGACAGACACACACCCACACACACAGTTTGTACATTAAAGTCATCGATATAAACTGGAGCTTAATTCCTAAAGTACTGTCTAAGAAGCATATGCAACATCTTCCAGAATTGTCTAAAGCAAGCAAACCCCAGCAGGATGGGCTGCTGTGAACAAGTGAGGGGTACAGGTCAAGTGTCTTTCTCCACCTTATTTCTTTTGAGATAAAGTCTCTCACTGAACCAGACCCACTGGACCCACCTGTTTCTGTTTCCACCTCCCAGAATTGTGGTTTCAGACTTCCTTAGCCACGCACGTTTTTTCCTACAGACGCTGGAAATTCGAACTCAGGCTCTTCTACCCAAGGAGCCATCTCCGCAGCCCTTAGCAAGATTTTATTTTTTAGAGACAGGGTTACTCTGTGTTACAGCTCTAGCTGTCCTGGAACTTGCTCTGTAGCCCAGGCTGGCCTCGAACTCACAGAGATCCACCTGCCTCTGCCTCCCGAGTGCTGGGATTAAAGGTGTGTGCCACCACGCCCCTTAGCATGATTCATAAATCACCTACTTTATTCAACGCTCTAATGTATTTTATTTAGAAGTAAACTAAACTACAAGGTTACTCGATGAATGCAAACAATGACTGCAAACGAACGAAGAACACGAATTTCTACAGGGTCTGCTCATGGCCCATAGCCATTCCTCCCAGGTTAAAGCATGACCAACGGGAATGCCAAGACGGGAAAGCACCCAAGCCTTTCGCGGGCCTTCCGCCTCCGCAGCTCAGGGAGAAGGCAGAGCCGGCCTAGGCTGCACCCTGCCGGCCTGGCTCCCGCGGGCTCGCCACTCGCCACAGTACCTGACAGGCGATCGACCTACGGAAGGCGCACGCCATGCCGTCCCGACGCCCGCCTCCACACGCCCCGCCTCCGCGCCGGAAGTTGCCTCTGCTTCCGCAAGGGCGCCCGGAAGTGCTCAGTGCGCAAGCACACGGAGCCGTGGAGTATGGCTACTTCCTCGGTGTCCAAGGTACGTGGGGGTGGCGCTTGCCATGTCTCCTTGGCAAGCACGGCGAGGCGGAGGTGTGACGGGCGTTGGCTCTGGCTCCGGGAAGAGCAGAATCCAGGCGGCTTTGCCCAGGTCCGGGTTCGAGGCCACCTTTGCTTTGGCCACCTAGGCCGTGGCGCCGAGGCAAGCCGGCCGGCTGCCCCAAGAATACGCCGCTTGCCCCTCCGCTCCCCGCTTTTTTTTTTTTTTTTCCGTATAAGTACTTACTGTGAGTTTAATTACCGAAATACAGACGTAAACAAAATATCTTTCAGTACTCAAATATTAATAAGCAGCTGATCTTGAATTGCCCGTATTACTAAGGGGAAAAGTTCTGAGAGAAGAGGGACGAACCAAGATTGCTAGGAGACCAGCGAAGCTTTTGGAGTAACAGTTTGGCTGAGACCTGAAAAATAAAGAGTCTTGGCGGGAACATAAAGCGTGAGGGTGGGAGAGCAGAATGACATGTTCTTTGCCTTAGAAATATAGAAATAAAGGAGCGGATTAAATAGAAGAATCGGGACAACCCGAAAGTGAAGGACAGAGCATTAGGAAAAACGAGAAAATGTAATTCACATGAGTGTTTGTATCGGGGCATCATGGATTTCGTAGATAGCAAGGGAGTGCAAATCAAAATGTGGTTTATAAGAGGAGAAATCCTAGGGTTGTGTCGCCCCCTAGCAGTCGGTGGCTATTTACATTTGAATTAAGATAACTTAAAATTAGTTTACCATTAGCAGGAACCATATTTCAGTAGCACATCAGAGCAGCTGTTTGGCATTTACGTCAAAGAAAGTTCTACTGGACTGTATTACTATACCATGTAAAGAAAGACTTATTTTACGTACAGAGGGATACTCCTGAGTAAAGCTGATAAAGCTGAAAAATACTAAGTTCTGGAAGGTTTTGTGTTTGGAATTGAAGGGGGACACTGAGCTGGATTGTCCTTTTTCTAAGAGATTTATTAGAAGTGATATTAACACCATAGACAGGCAGGCAGGCAGCATGGCAGAGGCTGTGAGGAGAATTTTGGCCCACATGGCAGAAGGAGTCCCTTCGAAGTTTTCACAGGATGAGGGTTCTGGAAGAGATTGAAATGTTTTCTGTTTTGACCCACAGTTCATGATTGCTCGCAGTAACCAGTGAATCTCAGTTCATGAATTTTAGGTGATTGATAAAACATCTTTCCTAGTTGGCCAAATCTGAGGAACAGGGAAGATAAGAGTATAGAAACAAGTTACTTTAGTTCAAGAAACCAAATTACAGTTACAGAAATTGTCATAGTTCAACCAAAATGGAGACAATTTACAAATGGTCCTGTCTACATCCCGACCAAGTGCTGGCAATAATGGTGTGCACCATCACACCCAGCCACTAGTTTAAGATTTTTATAGGACTGACTGGCTGGTGCTAGATTTAACTGCACTAGTACTTTTATTAGTGTTATTCCTGTTTTTTGTTTGTCCTTGGCTACAAAGTTCCAGATGTTGTGCCCTATCTCCTTATCATGTTTGTTTTATAAAACTTCATTTCTTTTCCTGTAGTTTGTGCATCCTGATCAAGTGCTCTACCACTTAGCTGCATACCCAGCCCTAGACCTCTTACTTTTTTTAAACTTAGAGAAAATTATATATATATATATATATATATATATATATAAAATTGCCTTCTAACAAATAGCTATGTTGGTGATTGATTATGAAGTAGACCTTATATAAATAACCTTTAAGGACTATTTCAGCAATTCATGGAACTGCCAACATTTTAATTTATTTTTCTTATTAAACCTCTCAAGTATTGTTATTTCTCTTTTCATATATATGTATTTCTGTTTTGTTGTTTTTCAAGACAGAGTTTCTCTATAGAACAGTTTGGCTATCCTGGAACTTGCTTTGTAGACCAGGCTGGCATTGAACTCACAGAGATCTGCCTGCTTCTGCCTCCAGCGTGCTGGGATTAAAGGTGTGTGCCACTACCACCTGGTACTCTTCATACTTTCTGGCTGATGGCCTTCTAGTCTAACATGGTTAACCATGTTACCGTTCGCATGTTTATATTAATATTTGTTGCTTGTATTCATATCCTTGTGCTAATATTCATCATATTAAGATCCATTCTAGAACTCTTCATGTTTTGCTGCATCAGGGCTGCCCTTACTGATTTTCAGGTTCATAGGGAAAGGATGTAGTAATAAGCTTGTCATGGTACAAGGTACTTTTAAAAAATATTTACAAGTAATTCACATAGCTTTACTAGTTGCACATATAAGAATACAAGGTACAACTTAATTTGGAACATGTTACCCACATGGCTACTTTATATTTTACACAGCTATCTAATACTAGTCTGAGATGACTTTTTTTTGTCATATTTCATTTCTTTTATTCTTTCATTTTCCATATAAACAGAAATCTTAGACTATCCATGAAATATAACTTACTTTTTTGTAGAATACACCACAATTAGAAACTTAGGAGCCAAGTACCAATAGTCAAATGTAATAATAGGACATTTAATGTGGCTATAGAAAATTACCAGAAAAACTACTTAGCAAGTATTTATTCATTCTGTATACCAATTGCCTAATGTATTTGTTAGTACTATCATAAACGTTAAGGAGGTGGTTATAAATAAAATATATCTGTGCTGTAAATGTGCTCACAGTTTATATTCAAGGAAAGATGTTTGAATCCTGGAATCGCAGGAGAAGCATTTCTTTTTTTTTTTTTTTTTTTTTTTCCTCGGTTTTTTGAGACAGGGTTTCTCTGTGTAGCTTTGCGCCTTTCCTGGAACTCACTTGGTAGTCCAGGCTGGCCTCGAACTCACAGAGATCCGCCTGGCTCTGCTTCCCAATTGCTGGGATTAAAGGCGTGCGCCACCACCGCCCGGCAAGGAGAAGCATTTCTTGAGAGAGTATCCTGGAGGGTGTCCCTGTCCCTGTCCTATGTGCCCCCCCCCCCCAAGAGATGAGGATTTGGTTTGGTTGCATAGCTAGGCTGGCCACAAACTCATGCAAAGGAAGATGATTTGGAACTCTTGGTTGTTGTCTCACAAGCACTAAGATAGAAGTGCGTGAACCATGCCCTGGTTTTTTTCTTTTGTTTTTTATTTAAATGGTTTATTGTATAGTGCGGGGACCTGGAGTTCTCTGTGTAAACTAGGCTAGCTTCAATCACAACAGTTCTCTTGTCTCAACTTCCTAAGGATTACAGAGATGAATGATGAGTTTTGAGCCAAACTATAATGGATAAATGGAAAGGAGTTTATTATTTGAAAAAATGTTCCATGAAATAAGAGCCAAAATTATATACTTACATCCTGGTTAGAGATACTTAGAGTTAATTAAATAAGAAATCATTTTGGAATGTGAGAGTATCATGTTTTTAACTTAATCTTTATTTATTTATTTTTACTTTTTTGTTTTAGACAGACTTTCTCTGTGTAGCCCTGGCTGTCCTGGAACTCTCTCTGTAGGCCAGGCTGGCCTTGAATTCAGAGATCTGCCTGCCTCTGCCTCCCGAATGCTGGGATTAAAGGTGTGTGCCACCACTTCCTGGTGCTTAATCTTTATTTTAATGTATAATATTAATGTTATTTCCCTTCTACATTTTATGAAACTTGAACTAAAACAGTTCGCCTACCTCTTAGAGCAGGTCCTAAAGAGTGTGAGGGCAACTGAGGGGACTGAGGAAAAGAAATGGATAATTCTTGAAGACTCTTCCCTTCAGTATTTCAAAGAAAAGTGTTAGGATTTTTTAGAACCTGAAAGAAATATACCCTACCCCAACTTCCCTTTTAAAGATCTTGTTTATTTCCAAAGTATTTGGGTAATTAGATTTGTCTGCTTTGCCTAATTTGACTTTTTGCTTTATTCCTTTCTTCCCTTTTTTGCTTAAATAGGGCTGTTTTGTGTTTAAACCAGACTTCAAGAAAAGAAAGATCTCTGTGCCAATCGGTAAAGTATCTTCACATCCAATTTGTTAATTTTTGTTCCCCCAGATCTTCTTAAATTTTAAGTGTGATTTTGAGCAAACCTTCTTAATGTTGGAGGTGATTCAACTTAACAGAAATAGTTTAAAGAAAATTAAGGATTTATTCCTTCATTGTATGTGAGACATATACCATACATTGATGTCTGAAACTACAGCAATGTAATTACAACAAATTTGGTAGTATATTAAAGCATTTATTATGTGCTGGACTGTTCTAATCATTTTTGTTCATTTAATCCCCTCAGCAAACTTTGGGGGAGTGTAGTAGTATTTCCTTTACCATATACAAGGATACATAGAAGACAGAAAGAACTTTCTCAGTATTATCATGCTGTAAACATTGTAGAGCTAGGATTTGAACCCATCCTCTGATTTTAGGTCTAACCTATGGTCTAACCATTGCTTTATGATACCTTTTCATAATGTGAAGCAAGTGTTTGCATAGGACTTTTTGTGTTGGATTTCAGTTGTAACTTAAGATTTATTAATAGTTTGTAATATCAACATTTTATGTGTACAGCAGTATAATTTGAGCTTTGCTTTAGAATTTTTAAATTTTTTCTTTCATTGTATTTGGTTTAAGACTAATAGGTATTGCTACAGTTTGAAAGTGTTTAAGGAATTGACTGATTATAAGAGAGATGAGATGAGGAAAATTATTCCCACTTTTTAGCAGTTACCTTAACTGGCTTCAATGCTTGAAGCTGATTGGAGAGAAGGGGGTGGTTTGTGTTTTGCCCACCATATGTCCCTGGACTTAAGACATTTCGGTGCATCCCTAAGCAAAACCCGGCA